GAGCACTGCTTACAGACAAGGCTACCCACCTCTGAAATGGAAGCAAGAGGCCCTCAAGACTGAGGCCTGGCAGCCTGGGATACTAGCGATAACTTGTCAAAAAAAAAAACAAACAGAAAATAAAAACCAGAAAACCTGAAGGAGGAAAGGTGGGAAGGCTGCACAGGCCCAGACACCAAGCATTCCTTCTGCTTCCAAACCTCACATTCGCCAGCAGTGTGAACACAGGACTCACTTCTGCCCACACTAAAACAGCTTCAGAACCTCTCCAAATACATGAAACCTGAAACAAACTGCTCACCAAGACCAGGGTCCTTCGTGTCATTGAAGTTGGCACGAGTGGTTCACACTTTAACTGATGTTTCCTTTTAACCTTGCCATTTAAAAACTCTGGGGCAGGTGTGGTGGCTCACACCTTTAGACGTACCACTCTGGAGGCAGAGGCAGGCAGATCTCTACAAGTCCAAAGCTAGCCTGGTCCACAGAGAAAGATCTGGGCCAGTCAGGGCTGTCAGTGAGTCTCTGTCTCAAAATGAAAAGCCAAAAGGGGGAAACTGTTGAGTTGAACAGTCAGGTCGCTGAAACAGAAGGATTCCAAGTTCAAGGCCAGCAGCTTGGGCTAGAATGAAACCCTGGCCTTTAAAAACCTGTGAGTTGAGCACAGGGTTCTTCCTAAGACTCAGTTTTCCTCACCTATTAAACAGGAGTTACCTTATAAGGCAATTATGGAATTAAATATAATCCATATTATATCTAGCACATGCCTAACATGGAGTAACCAGTACATGTTATTTGCCAGAAGTACTGGACAAACAGATGCATTTTAAAATTAATATTACTATTCATAGGCATTTTTGTGGTTACGAAGCCTAGATAAGCAGTCCACGTGGCACACAGTTGCTTCTCCCGGTGGAGGAAGGAGACTGGCAGGGTACAACATTTCAGGCCTCAGTCAAGGCTACACAGCAGTGGTACACAGAGGGAAGGAGGCTGAGCTGACCGAGACTAACCAGGATCTCAGGATGACTCGGATCCTGACGGGCAAAGACAGTCAGAAAGGCATCCCTAGCAGATGGCCGCCTGGGAGAAGCTAGCTCGCCAGCAGCAGCAGATGACAGCAGCGTTGGCCTGGGGCTCGTGGTCTAGACGGAGTGACACACAGTGAGGGCTGGAAGCAGGGCCGCTGGTGGGACACGCCCTAACATGGTTCAGTCTCCAGGGTGGAGACAGAGGGTGCGAGAGCAGACTGCCGCCCTGCAGCATTGCTTCCTCACTGTGGTGTCTGTCTACGTTCTCAGAGAAATTAACACCACTCTCTTCCTCTTTTGTAGCACGTTCTCAGAAGACGTCAGGTATTGGGCGTCTGATGGTGCACGTCATTGAGGCTACAGAATTAAAAGCCTGCAAACCAAATGGTAAATGCTGCTTTTATTCAACAGATGTGGTAACACCCTGCTCTTTACTGGTACCTCTTTTGAATGTGGAATGATGGGTAATTTTTAAAAGGCAGTGTTTCTGGTGTTGCTAGAACCCTGATAAGCTGTTTATTGGGCCAATATCACTCACTGTTTCCCAGTAAGAACCAGCATCCCCCATCTTGATTGCTAATGCATGAACATACACAAAGCATGTCACACTGGCACCTTCTCAGGCTTGTGGGGAGCAGCCCTGCTGTTAGAACCTACACTTGCTCCCTGGGATTATGGCATCATTGGGAACACGGGGCCTTACTGCTACTCAGCTCTGAGGTAAATGTGTCCTACCAGGTAGTGGTGCTTCTTGCCATGGTCTCTGGTGAAGCAGCCTACAGACCCTGCCCTGGTCACCCTCTTTCCTTACCACACTTCGTGTGTCCTTGACCTCTCTCTGTGCAGGAAAGAGTAATCCATACTGTGAAGTCAGCATGGGCTCCCAGAGCTATACCACCAGGACCCTCCAAGACACGCTAAACCCCAAGTGGAACTTCAACTGCCAGTTCTTTATCAAGGATCTTTACCAGGACGTACTGTGTCTCACTATGTTCGACAGAGACCAGTTTTCTCCAGATGGTAAGTCTAACTCGGCACCTGAAGGTGGTCCCGGTTGTCTGGGATCTGGACTTTATCCAGAGTCCTAAACTGTGCTATCGCCCCATGACAGCTACAGGAAATGACACAGGGCCCTGTCAGCTCACTTCAGCAGGAGGTGGGTGTTTGCCGGAGGGCATGGTCTCTGAGCACAGGCACTGCCTGCATACATTGGAAACACTAGTGAGTACTGGATGGGTAGAGCATTGTCTTCCCTGTTGGCTAACAGATAGGGAGCTGTAACCATGCGTTTGTCCACTGTAGGACCAAAGATCGTGAGCCAGTGGGCTCCTCACGCAGGGCTTGAAAGCTGTCTAAATCCTGTTTCGGGCTCTCCTGCTCGGCAAGGTTTTAAATCTTAGAAGGAACAAAGATACTTGATCCTCACGTGATGTTTATTCCCCAGACTTCCTGGGTCGTACTGAAGTTCCAGTGGCAAAAATTCGAACAGAGCAGGAAAGCAAAGGCCCTACTACTCGCCGGCTCCTGCTGCATGAAGTCCCCACTGGAGAAGTCTGGGTCCGCTTTGACCTGCAGCTTTTTGAACAAAAAACTCTCCTCTGAGGGCCTGGAGAAGCCAGCACCGGGGAGCTGCCCACAGGCTGGGTCCAAGAGTGGAAGACTACGTTCTCCTGGGCCAAGGAGCATCACAGGGCTTCATCCATCACAGAGCCACACGCCGGGCCAGTATGTTCCTGCACACTAACTTGCTAGCCATCTATGCAAACATGACCTTTCCTATAGACAAACACCACAGCTCAGTGCCTTGTAACTAGTGTTAACGTCCAGCTGCGCTAGGTGCCAGGGTTTCCATTTTCAGGGCTATAAAGTATTATGTGGAAATGAGGCATCAGACCACCGGGCGTTACCACTTGGCAAATGTGTCCACTGTGGAGTCGGTGATGCTGGAACCGGTCCACACACGTGAGCCCTGCTGGGCCACAGCACTCAGGAGGGGAAGGGCTGGGGAAGAACACTGCAGCTGCGGGGCTGTGTGGCCTGATACTGAAGTAGCATCCACTTGTGCACTGAATAAACAGAAACTTGATCCTTTTATTCTGGTTAGATTTTATCCTTCTCTGCTCAGACAATACGGTTTGAAATATAAGGAGGGAAGCTTGATGTACTTTAAATATACTGTGAACTCTAAAATAATGTGGGAATATTTTTCAACTTTAATTTTCTGAAGTATAAATTATTTATGTAAATTCCTTGTTTTGCATATTTCATAGTAATGCATCTTTAAGCTTTATCATTGCCAACATGTACAGAAAGAGAATAAAAGTATAAGTTTATGAATGTAACTCCTCTCAAAGCTTGACTGTGTGTGAAAGGCTTTTAACAGCTCCCTTCCGAAACTGCTTATAAAGAATCCTGAGGGATGGCTGGGCCAGGAGATCTACTTAACTCCACCGCTGGCCTGCTCAGACCCTTCTGTGCGACTCTCAGGTTCCTGAGGTTTGGTTTCACAGGTCACTGCTGTGGGCAGGGGAACTGCGTGGGAGCTACGCTGGCACCGACAGGGGCATCCTACAGGGAAGGGTGAAGTGCAGAGGTCAGAACTGTCTGTAGCTCTGCTGCCCTGCAGCTCCAGCAGCCCCAGCACTTCCTGTCCTCTGTCTTGCCATAGCCATAGCCATACTGCTTATTTGGCTTCTGAATACTGAAATATGAAAATTTTCAAATAGTAACTAAGATTTTGAACACAAATTCTCCAGTGAAGATCACAGAGTAAAGGTGACAGATCTTTCTCCAGCAGCTAGAGTAGCCAGGAGCTCAGGGCTCTTCCATTCTCCCCATTCTTGTTTAAATTGGCTGAGTCACTTGGAACACACAGTTCAGTGGACTGAAATTTTAAAGACTTTTCCCTTCTCTGACTCCAGATGCTGACCTCACATACCCGCTGGTTAAAACAGGAAGAAGCTGCTACTTGATACATAAAACTGAAGCAACCAGTATCCAGCTTATTCTAGGAAGCTTTGAAGGACCAGGCACAGGCTGCTGGGCAAGCCCGCTGCCCACTCTCCTGGGTTTGGGGAGCTTGTCTTGTTGCTACTGAAGCAATATGGAGTCAGGAAAGTTGCTGCTGACAGCCCACGTGTGGAACATTACACTCCCCGGCAATCCGGCAGCTTTAAAGCTCTGAGGTTCCTTGTGACCTATAGCTACACAGCAATAGGTCTACATTGCTGTGTGTCTATGCTCTTTCCCTGACCATGGGGACTTTAATCCTCACTAGAGTGAGTGTCCCTGTCTCTCAGCTGTCAGGACACCTTGATCAGATTTGGGACACAGGAGCCCTCAGGATCTGACTCATGTGACTTTGATGGCTAGAAAGGGTACAGCCAGCAACTCCAGTCTTTTTTGCCTAGTAACCCAGAACTGCCCCTGAGGAAGTCAAATTGTCCTCCCCACTGAAATGTGAGCCCAAGTTTCTAGAGGATGCGAGGAGACCCCCCCCCATCCACCAGGAAGTGGGTAGCCCTCACATAACTAGATATCTCCCCTCGGTGAAGAGACCCCATTAAACCCCTTCAGTGTCCCCCCCACCCCCGGGGGCCTCACACAATGGTAGAGCATCCTCCCTCTGAGCAATTTAACCCCCACTGCCAGGCCGGAGTGTCTGTGAGGTAGTCGCACCCTGGAGTGCGAGCAGGACTGAACTTGAATAAAGCCCTGGTATTCTCTGAGTGGGGACTGGCCCCAGGCCAGGCGCAGAGCCCCACTGAGCACCAGGTGCTAGGAGATGCTCAAGCTATCTGGCTGTCAAGTGTTTTCAGTGAAACGAAAACACCACACACACTTCCTAGTTCCTAGCCAGGGCTTAGAAAACTAACTGCTGTTCCTCAGGTCGTTCCTGCAACCGCTTCCTACCTAGAGAGAAGCTGTGTTCTCAGTGTCTTAAATGTCTGTGCAGTGTGAAGGCAGGAAGCTCTATGCCCACTGGAGGCCCGACCTGGCTGCCCCCTGCAGGGAGGCCAGGTGCTTCCCCAGGAGCTCTGCGGTCATCACCCTTCTTCCCACAGCAGGTTGCCCCTGAGAATGGTGGCTGTCTGCTGCTGCCCAGGAGCGTGGTCTCTGTGGTCGGGTCCCTGAAACCTGTTCACAGAAGAAAAGGGCTGGATGTAATGCCGATTGAGCAGGCTCCCATGAGAGGAAGCATCCCCTCCCCAGACAGTGCCCCACCCCAAGCCTTCTATCCTTTCTGACAGGTTCCCTTCTCTGGTGGTTTCTGCAGTTCTCGGATGAGCCTTTCAGTGTCTTTACCGCCACCCACCTTAACGGTGGCAGAGGTGACTAGCTGTCCCCAAGGCGCTGCCCTCCACGGTGTTCAGACCCTCAGGGCTGCTTTCCTGAGCACATTTGCACCCACAGTTAGGGACAGTGGTCCTAGCCCAGTGCTGCCTTTAGTCCTGTCCCACATAAAAAGATGTTAGCAGGCTAGGGTAGTGGTAACGGGGAACTTCTGTTTTGTTTTTATTGAGACAGAGTTCTTTTAGACTTGATTCTGCCAGCATTTTTCAAGTCACTCAGGTACTTCCACAACATGAACCACATAAGCATGCCAAGCAGGTAAGATCTGAACACTGCTGAGACTCGGAACCCAGTTGCTTTTGGTTCTATCACCGAGGTGCATGCTCTTCCTGTACCAGCTGTGTTAGTGATAAAAACGTTCGTGTACTTTTCAATGGCAGGAATTAAACCCAAGATTTTGTGCAAGTACTAAGATATACCGCCGACCTGATATAAAATCTATTCTTTTCAGCCGGGCAGTGGTGGGAGTGCACGCCTTTAATCCTAACACTCGGGAGGCAGAGTTTGAGAGCAGCGTGGTCTAGAGAGCAAGTTCCAGGACAGCCAGGGCTGATACACGGAGAAAAGGTCAAAATAGAAAGAAAGAAAGAAAGAAAGAAAGAAAGAAAGGAAGAAAGAAAGAAAGAAAGAAAGAAAGTTAGCAGGAATGAGTCCCTTGGAAGCCAGGTGCTAAAGATAGCAAAGATTCCAAGGTCCTGAAGGGAGAAAGTCTGTTGACCTGTTAACCCATCCACTAATGAAACAAAACCATTGCTTTTAAAACCCTCTTTCAAATGTTTTTACTCTTATGATGACAGCAGGGGCTCCCCTACCATAACAGCAGAACCCACATTAGGACCTAAAACAAGTGGGCTGTATCAGACTAGAAGTTTCTGTATAGCAAAGTAGAGAGGGGAGAGTGAAAAGAGACAGGGATCGACAGACAGACAAGAGGGTGTGTATAAGTAAGCTTCTATCCCAGCAGGTATGTCTAGTCTGTGGCTTGTGGACCACAATGACTGGGAAGTACAAGGAATGAGGTCCAACACAAAAACTCTAACTTAAATGTTGGCTATTTCTCGGTTGTTGAGTGTGAGCTCTGTAGAGGACCATGTCCTATATTAATACCGAAAGGTAGTTCTTCCTGGAGGGAGAATCTGCTTTCAAGGAGACTGAGACCATCATGACTGAGGAGGAGCTGGGGCACAAAACATCTGATTTAGTGCCCAGTCCTAGAAGGGTCATCATTCTCACCCCCCCCCCCCGCCCCCGGCAACCACCACCAAGGCTCATGGGACACTGAGGAAGAGGAAGTAGGAAGAATATAAGAGTTGGACATAATGGCACTGCCTCAGGAGGCAGAGGCTGGTGGATCTCTGAGTTTGAAGCCAGCCTGGCCTACAGAGTGAGTTCAGCCAGAGCTACATAGTGAGTCTCTCTGAAAACACGTGTGTGTGTGTCTGTGTATCTGTGTGTCTGATTGATAACTGGGAGGAGCGCTGTTGCTGTGGGAGCTCCTCCTGCTCCTTCAGCCAATAGCCTTTAAGATCCCAGCCCACTTGGGCATGGTCTCTTATATACAAGTGCAGTTGTGAAGCGTGCACTCACTCTCTTGCTTCCGGTTCTCGCTTCCAGCTGCTAGATTTGGTTCCTGTTCCCCATTCATGCAGCGGACTGTGATCTAGGACAGTGATTATGAGTCCCCCCCCCTTAATAAATAACTCTTTATTATACATAATTCTGAGCTAGTGTGGGATTATTTTGTAACTTCCATAATCATGTTGTGAGCTTGGCATGGCTGTCGCCCTCATGGGTTCACAGCAGTCGTGGTATTTAAAGCCAATCCAGCCAGAATTCTGGTATAGATGGGGGGAGTGATCCCTAGACCCCATGTCTTACTGAGGAGCTATTGGCAGCTTATAACTGCTGAGGGAAGGACAGTCTTTTTCTTTGCTTTCATGTGTTGCCCCTGGTAGGCTCCCCACACACTGAGGATGGGCCCAGCACCATCCACTAAGGGCAGCACTAATCACACTTAGTGGGCTATGGGGAAGGAGGAGGGGACAGTGACAAGGACATGAGTTTGGAGAGGGGGCTGTGATGAGAGTCATTTGGAGGCAGTTGGGAGAAACAGGGATATCTGTGATGTTTCATTGTACACGTGTATGAGGTTCTCAAGAATAGAGAAAATAAATGTAATGACTTCTGAGTCGTTAGCTCTCAGTGTGGCAGGGATCAGGGAAAACCCTTGTGCCATGAGCTGCAGTCACAGAGACTCTAAGCTCTGTGACTAAGCCTCAGAGGGAGAGAAGAGGGAGACAAAGAGGCCAGGAGCCCATGCGATCCTTAGCCCTATATGCAAAACTCTGTGTGTGGGGAAATTCCCTTTGAAATACGCAAAAGTTCATTTTGCCCTCCACCCCTTTTTCTCGTGTTTCATTTTTAAAATTGCCTATTATAACTGAATTAAGAAAATTTTTGTTGCTGCTGGTGGTAGTTTTTTGAGACAGGGTCTTGCCGTATGACCAGGCTGGCCTCAAATTATTTTTAATTTTTAAAAATGTTACCATGTGTGTATGAGTGTTTCGCCTGCTTGTCTGTCTGTGCACTAGACACATGCAGTACCCACGGAGTCCGGAAGATGGCATCGGTTCCCTATGTGGATGCTAGAATAAAACCTGGGTCCTGGGGAAGAGCAGCCAGTACTGTTGACAGCTTACCCATCTTCTCCAGTCCCTGGTCTTCCCATTGCCCTCACTTCCCAAGCGCTAGGATTATGGGTGTGCACCACCAGGCCTGGCTAAGAGCAAAATGTCCGATCTGCTTTCAGTGAATAGTAAATGGTAGAAACTGTCAGAGGCAGGAAGGCTCAGGAAAGAGGAGGGCTGAAGTTACTGGTGAACCAGCTCTGGCCAGTCTTCTTGGCTCTCACCTTGTAAAGACGGGTCTGCACTTGTGTTCTGAACCCACCTACACTGTGTTTCCTCGCTCAGCGCCCAGCAGGGCAGAGGGACAGAGCGCCAGGCCACCCACCAGATCACTGCAGGACTTGAACGCCCCCACTGCCTCCACTTTCCCCTCTTCCTCGCGGGGGAGGGCTCTGCCAGGTTCTGCTCGCTGTTCTGGGCAGTGGGTATTGCAATGCCGTCACCCAGCCCCACTCCCAGACCTCAGCTTACCAGACCCTTCTTCTCAGCCTCTTTCTTCTTTGGGCTGAGCTTAGAGGAACGGAACTGCCTTTCAAAGACAATCTGGCTTATGTTGCAGGTCTTCTCTTCCTGAGGCAGATGTGACTTGGATGTACAGACAAGCTTTTCAGAACTGAGGAGAAAAGGGGGAGGGATCTCAATTCAGCGCGAACAATTCAAAAGCAATTGAAATCGGGTGGTGGTGGCACATGCCTTTAATCCCAGCACTTGGGAGGCAGAGGCAGGAGGATTTCTGGCCTGATGGTCTACAGAGTGAGTTCTAGCACAGGCTCCAAAGCTACACAGAGAAACCCTGTCTCAAAGAAAAAAAAGTTATTGAATGAACTTGATCGATATTCGTTTTGTGAAAAGAAAAGGCTGGCTAGACATCACTGGAGCCCGCCCATCTGGTCAAGCTGGAATAATGTCTCTAAAGGTCCATATGGGAAGACTGGGAGCCCAGGGTGGTGGTGTTGGGTATGCTATGGGCCTTTAAAGAATGAAGTTGGAGGTCTGGGGGTGAGAGGGACCATGGAATCATGATCTCTTCCTTCCAAAATAGGAGTTCAATAAACCTTTCTTAAGCCAAATGGCGCAGATGAAGCTGGCTAACACAACTATCATGTGAGTTGTGGGACCGGTCTCCAGCTGTGGCTGAGGCAGTCTCTCTGTCCTCCTACCTGGGATTGAAACAGAAGGTCCACAGGCAGCCTGTGTGAGTACTCAGGCCAGGAAGTCAGGGAGAAGTGCAATCGACTAGGCAGCACATGCGCAGAACAGAGAAAGCCTCAAGAAGAAGGGATGACGAGAACCCGAAGTCTCAGAGGAGACGGCAGGCATCGTGGTCCCTCAAGCAGCCTGGCTTTCTTGCTGATTATATAATATACGGGGACTTTCCAATGTAAAAGTTTTCCACTTGAGAAAGATTCTGCTTTTTGCCATCAACTGCCCCTGGTTAACGTAGCGTACTGCTCTTTAGTTCTTCCCTTCATTACACAGGGCGCTCTCTGGACACCTCGCGGAGTCACGGCCATGGCTGCCTATTCCGACAAAGGAAATAGGCCTTCTCTTTCCCCATCCCTTCCTCGTCTAGCAGACTCGCCATCTATCCCGCCCAGCGCTTGAGGCCAGCCGCTGCAAGATGTAATACTCGCCTGGGCTAGGATACCAGGCAACAGGAAACAAAGTGCGCAGCAGCCTGGCAGATCGGGAAACTGTAAACAGTTGGCTCGATCCAGACATTTCTGGGGCTAGTGTGTACTTCTTTGCTTTAAGGAAAGGGGATTTTTCAAGCCTTCTAGCAAGGCTGGCAGCGGGGGTCAGGCAGTGTCTCACAGCTGTAAGGAACCCGACTCGGCCGAGAGGGTTAGAGGAGGCCACTGGAAAGCCTTTCACTGGGAAGTGATCATTCAAGCTGTTAGGTGGGAAAGGCCAGACTAAAGTGGGGCTAGAGGAGCTGTGGCAGCTCTGGCTGAGGGGCTGAAAGGGGGGGGGGTGAAGGGGTGAGAGCAAGAAAAGGCCTCTCCACCACTGAGAAGTTACGTCATTGTTAGTGTTTAAATGAAAAGCTCTTAAAAGTAAAAGAAACTCACCAGGCGGTATGGTGTTGCATGCCTTTGATCCCAACACTGGGAGGCAAAGACAGGTGGATCTTTGTGAGTTCGAGGCCAGCCTGGTCTGTAAGTCAAGTTCCAGGACAGCCAGGGCTGTCTCAAAAACAAACAAACAAACAAAAAACTGTCTCAAAAAGAAAAAAAAGAAGAGAGAGGTGGGGAGGGAGGGAGGGAAGGAGGGAGGGAGGGAAGGAGGGAGGGAGGGAGAAGTCCTAGCACTTGAGATGTAGAGGTGGGGCAAAGAGCTTGAGGCCAGACTTAGTTGTAATGAGAAATACTGCCCTCCCCCTCACAAAAAGGGAAAAGTGAGACACTTGTGCTTTTGTGCAAGGTTTAAGATCTGAAATAGCAACAGCTGGAAAGAACCAAGAAATCTACCTGGAACGTAATGCTCACGTCTGTAAAGTCATAGGACAGTTGCAGATATTGTGCCAAAGAAGGAGAGACTTTCCAGGGGGAGTTCTCTTTATTTTTTTTTCTTTTTTGGCTATTTATTCATTTTTATGTGTGTGGGTGTTTTGCCTACATGTATGTCTGTGTCCCACATGTATGTAGTCCCCAGGAAGTCAGAAGAGAGCATGATTGGATCCCCTAGGAACTGGAGTTACAGACAGCTGTGAGCCACCATGTGGGTGCTGGGTTTGAACTTGGATCCTTGGAAACAGTAATGATCTTAACTACCAAGCCATCTCTCCAGCTCCCAAGAGAGAGAGTTCTTACTCCTCAAACTGTGACCATTTGAAGTACTGAGATACCTATGACTTTTAAGATTTTGTTTCTCAAATTTACGTAAGAACCTAACTAGAACTAGTTTTTATATAGATAATGGAGTCCAGTTTAATCCCCCCATAATGAAACTCATTTTCTAGTACCATTTATTGAAACCCCTATATTATCCCCCTTGTTCTGCACTATAGCCTTATTTTAGTACAAATAAAGTATCTATATGTATTTAATTTCTTGATTCTCTAATTTGGTTTAATTGTTGATTTGGTACAGTTTTTAAGTCAGTTTGATACCTGATAAAGTAGTCCTATAAAATTTAGAATTAGCTCAATTTCTATATACACATAAACACACACACATACACACACACACTCCAGACAAATATCTCTGATTCATTCAGATTGAACTGAATGTGTGGACAGATTTTAGAACTTTTCATGTTTTCAATTTTGAGTGATGTTGGTACAGGAGAATTGTCTGTATTCTGTCAATCATGTTATAAATAAACGCTGATTGGCCAGGCAGGAAATATAGGCGGGGAAACCAGAGAGGAAGTAGAAATAATGTAATGAGAACAGGAGAATTCTGGGAAGGAGGAAGTTGATTCTTCCCACTCTTGCCCAGACCACCAAAGCAGCAGGATGTGATCTGCCCCACTGAAAAAAGGTACTGAGCCACATGGCTAACACAGATCAGAAAAATGGGTTAATCAAGATGTGAGAGTTAGCCAGTGAGAGGCTAGAGCCACCTCTAGAGCCACTGGAGAGGGAGGTGGGCCAATCAGCTTTATAACTTACAGAGATCTTTGTGTGATTTTCTTTGGGGCTAAACAGCTGGGGGGGGCTGGGAGAGACAAAAACCCCAACAACAAGCAGGCCCCCCCCTCATGTTACATGCTGTGATCCATGAACATGGTACATCTTCCCATTAAGTTGGTTCTTGTCTGTTTCTCTGTTTCTCTGTGTAGCCCTAACTGTCTTGGAACTCACTCCATAGACCAGGCTAGCCTCCAACTCATGGAGATCCTCCCATCTCTGCCTCCCAAGTGCTGGGATTAAAGTCATGCACCACCACCGCCTGGCTAATTTAGTTCTTACTTTATTCCTCTTAAAGTAGCTCTCAATTAGGCCTGATTCTGCCTCCAGAGTAGTATTTGGAGGTAGGTAGGACTCATCATCAGATTCTGGTGTGGGAGAATTGTCTGTATTCTGTCAATCATGTTTTAAATAAACACTAACTGGCCAGGCAGGAAATATAGGCAGGAAAACCACACAGGAAAGTAGAAATGGTGCAATGAGAACAGGAGAATTCTGGGAAGGAGGAAGTTGATTCCTCCCACTCCTGCCCACACCACCAAAGCAGCAGGATGTGATCTGCCCCACTGAAAAAGGTACTGAGCCACATGGCTAACATAGATCAGAATAATGGGTTAATATAAGCTACAAAAGCTAATAAGTAGCCTGACCTAATGGGCCAATCAGCTTTATAACTTATAGAGATCTCTGTGTGATTTTCTTTGGGGCTTGCCGGCTGTGGGATATGGGGGCAGGACAGAAACCCCCAACAAGCCACCCCGATCATGTTACAAGATTCAATTTGTGCTGTCCATATGCTCATGAGAGCGGGGCCAGGCACTGGAGAACAGTCAGTTTACCAAGGGACAACATCCTCGAGAAAAAATTATTACCTCTCTTCCAAAAGCCAGCAACGGTCAATAACCTCTTAGCTAGGGGTGGGGGCTCCTGAGCCCCTCACTGCAATTTTTAATTTTTAATATTTATTTATATTTCAGGACAGTCAGGGCTGTACAGAGAAGCCCTGCCTCAAAATAAAAATATTTATAGCCTTTGAGTTTTTCTTTGTAGAGCCTCATATTTTCTGTTAAAAAGGAAGGGTTTTATTCTTGCTTCCCATTTCTTTTACCTTTTATTTCTCTCCCCTCTCTTATTACTTAAGGTCTCTGGCACAAATCTGAAGTGGCAATTGTGAGTTTCTTTGTCTGATTCAGGAAGTCACAGGGAAAACATTTAGTGTTTCAATGAAACCTCTATGATTTCTAGAACTCTACTGCAAATTAAGTAAGCTAATTTCTATCTCTCTGATTATGAGCTAATTTGGGGGTGTGTGACTAGATTTTTTATTTTGATTCTTTATTTATTGAGATGATTAAGACTTTGTTCTGTTAACACAGAGATCACAAGAGCTTTCAAAAATGACTTTTGGTATAAACGCTTAAAAATATACTGAATCTACCACCCGGGTTCAATAACCACCAACAGTTTCCACACCCTTGGCTCCTAGATGCTCCCTTTCTCTTCTCTTCTGGGAGAACCCCTAGAGCTCAGAATGACTTATCTGGTTACTCTGTACCTGCACAGACTGGGCTTATTCCACACAGGCTGGGCAGAGGCTCTCTGCCTCTCTTTGGGAACGATGCCATGGGAAGTGAGCATGAACTTGGGTGATTTGCTGAAGAGGGGAGCCTTCTTGGTTCCTTTAGGTTCTTTTTGCATGTCGTTCTGTTTCTCTACAGGAAGACACCAGAGCAAAATCAAACTCTGTAAAACCAACCCCTGTGCTCTTCAGGGTGGGAATGATTGACTTTTAGCTGTGGCTGCAAAGCACCTGTGCGGTGTTGGTAGCGGGTTCCTTTAGCTTCTCGGAGCTCTTGCTGTCTTCGGAACAGACACTCACACATCGGAGAGGCTTTCGTCTACAGGAGAAAATGAGAGTATTTGAGTCCCCCGCTGCAGTTTCCAGCGAGTGATCAAATCTATCCCTAAATAACGTCAGTCAGCGAGGCCTTTCTCCACCAAAGCCATGATCAAGACTTAGGAATAAAGTCAGGCACAGCGCAGGGGGAGAAGCTGCCTCAGGTGGAAATGCTTCACGGACTGTAATGGCGGGTAGGAGAAAGGAGGGGGCCGACCCACGTGCAAGAGGCGGCTTCTATTCGTAGCTTTACTAAGCCATTGCATTAGTCAATAATATTTGCTCAGCTATTCCGTGCTACGCCAAGGCCAAGTTCGGACCTCACGCGTTCTCAGTCTAGAACAAATCATGCAAGTGACACCTTGGTTGTGAGAGGCACCCGTTCAAGCCTTTAGGAGCACAAACACTGTTTCTAACCAGTCTGGGAGGAAAAGTCCTCCCAGTGGGAGGGGACACGGCCCACTGCTCTGGGGAGGGGTGGGGTTAGGGAAATGTAAGCCTGTGTCAGGGTGTGGGTGGTACTGAGGCCATTTAAAAGGAATCTCCGGCTAACCATAAGCCTCTTTCTCCACTTCTTCAATGCCGAAAGATCACACTCCTTGATTCCAACACATTTGGATTACATCTTGAGTTCCAGCTCTTAGGACATTTGGGAATTAATAGTGCACGTTTTCTGAACTTGATGATACCCAGTGTTTCTAACGTTCTGTCTGAACTCTTCTACAGTTTAGCAGATACCTGGGGCTGAAAGACCCAGGAAACCAAACAGCAAAGATCCAATAGGAGGACACTTAAAGCCAGTAGACTTAAATTTGATATTGCAAATTAGGAGGGCACAAATTCCTGAAGAGGTTCCTGACCTCAAAGTGAAACACATCTTCAAAATAAGACACTGAATGGTGCTGTTCTGTCAAGACAGCGAAGAAAAGAACTGTCTGACCCCGGGCTTGAAGCAGTCCGCTTCTCCCTCACCCATTTCCTCCCACAGGGATAGGAACTCTCTCTCCCGGCCCTGTTCTGAACTAGGAATTGCCATTTGACCCAGTCCTGGTAAGATTGAAAGCTGAAACGTTGGCCTAGGGAATGCTGAAGAGTCTGCTTTTTGATAAAAGGAGTGGTTCAGAGAGTCCCGGCACCACCCTCCCTCCCTACCTTGCCAGCAGGCACACAGTGAGAATGATGGGACAACCCACACATCAGGCCAGAGAAGAAAACGATGGGAGGACAAGAAAAAGAATGGCATCATAGTTACGTAGAAGAAGCAATAAAATCCAGTACCAACCGGTTTATCCATGTGCTTTGCGCAGTATTCATATTTCACTTGACTTTGTCCGGGTCGTCTATGTGAAACCACTTTTTCTATAATTCTCTGCTGAAGAGGCCGCGCTACATTTTCAACCCATTTCTTATGTAACATCTCTTTTCTTCTTTCCTTAAAAACTGCCTGATGCTGAATGTATGTATCCATTCTCTGACAAAGTAACACAAACAACAAGGATCACAGACCTCCGTTCCTGTCATTCTGTTAGCGAGGGAGAAAACACCCGTTCCTAAGCACTCCAGGGAGAAAACACCCATTCCTAAGCACTCCAGGGAGAAAACACCCGTTCCTAAGTGCTCCAGGGAGAAAACACCCATTCCTAAGCGCTCCAGGGAGAAAACACCCGTTCCTAAGCGCTCCAGGGATTCATGCCGCCTAGTCCTCACACCAAATAACTGGAACGCAGAATAAACTTCAGAGACAGAACTTGAAAACACAGGCCAGGAAGAAAATATGAAAACTTCTAAATCATACCGCACCTTCGGATCAAACTGTTATCCAACTCATGAACCCAATGAAGCCTTTCCTAACTCACCAAATCCTCATTTCTTGTTAAAATGTTGCCCAGACATTCATTCTCTATCTAGGCTTTACCAGCACTAGGTCTGTGCCAGAACTGGAAGAACAAAGACACTGAACTTACTTTTATGCTGCTCCCTGACCTATGAAAGGCGTTAACCCCAAGACTGCTTTTGATACTTCATTTAAATGAGAATTTATGGGCAAGTGATTTAGTTACTGCCTAGCCCATTGTCTCTTACAGTGTACTCAATAAACTATGTTGAGAGAGAATGAATGTCCATTTACTTTGTAAATTCAAATCACAATAAAAATGTCAAAGTGCTATTATAATACTATCTTTCAGGTGGAAATTAACTCCTTTAAAGCTTGCTGATCCAACAGTGATTATTAGTAACTTAATTGGTCATTACCCTTAAATGCTAATTAATTTCTGGTAGTTTTAATATTTCCCAATGCAGTATGGAAAAATAGGAAAAAGAGGCAAATTTGTTAGAAAAGAATTCCATTTGGTACAAGTCAATGAGGGGGAAGCAGTTAAAAAACGATCCCTCAGATTCCTTAAGGGCAGATCCATACAAGATGTGGGACCTTTAGTGATCCTACAAAGAGCGGCACCCTCTCAGGGCTACACAGCTCAAGGGTATAAATCAGAGGCACGTCATTTTGCCTGCAAATGAGTCTCTCAGACAGAACATTGCAGTCTGAATGTAAAATGTGCCCCCAAACTTGTGTGCTAGTTTGTGTTTTCAGCTGATGAGGCCATGGGGTGGTGCTGTAAACTTTAGAAGGCAGGGCTGGTAGGCGGGAGATAGGTTGCCCAGAGCAGACCTTTGAAGAAAATCCTGACACACTTTCCTCGCTTCCTGTGTTGCTTCCTAAATGCCCAGAGGTGAGCAGCTCTGACTGCTGCCTGCCTTTATGTGAAGTGACTGTTGCCGGAATGCCCTGAATCTCTGAGCCAACACAAGCCTTTGCTCTCCTAAGTTGGTCATGTTCAGCGCATCAGAGCACGGCATCCACTCTTGCTCCTCCAGAAGGCAGCACGCAACCACTCACCTTCACGATGTAGTTTTCTCGGAACAATATTGCATGCACAGCTTCATCGATGTCTTCTCGAGCTAATACCTAAAAACAAAAATGAACGGGAAGTCAAACACTCTGAAGGAAGCATAGGAATGACAAGTCCCAGGCCAGTGTTCCAGTATCACTCGTGAAAATCTAGCGCCTGTATCTCACAGCATAGTTCTAACTCCTTATGATGGGAAACTTCAAATCCTGCTCTCCACCAGCCCGTAATCTAGCTTTAATGGTAGCAACGCAATCTTATTTCATTTAAACCCTACTCATTTTTCCATCAACCACCTAGACTATTTTGAAACACATCCCTGACATTACATCATGAAATCATATTTTGTTAGAGTTTCAGGAAGCTGGGCTGGAAAGATGATTCAGCAGTTGCAAGCACATACTGTGCTTGCAGAGGAGTAGGTTTCATTTGGCAGCACCTATGTCCGTCCGGCTGTTCAGTTCACATCTGCCTGTAACTCTAGCTCCATGGGATCCAATGCCTCTGGCCTCTTTAAGCACAAGCACTAAAATACACATACCCACATATGGTACATAGTTAAGAATAAAAAATAAAGTTCCGGGCTGAAGAGATGGCTCAAAGGTTAAGAACACTGGCTGCTGTTCCAGGGGTCCTGGGTTCAATTCCCAGCAACCACGTGGTGGCTCACAACCATCTGTACTGAGATCTGGTGCCCTCTTCTGGCCTGCAGGGATACATGCAGAACACTGTGTATGTAATAAATAAATACATCTTTAAAATAAATAAAGTTCCAAGAAGCTTACTAAGCATTTTTAAGCAACAATAAATAAATAAATGGGACCTTCTAAAACTGAGAAGCTTCTGTAAAGCAAAGGACAAGTCAGTAAGACAAAAAGGTAGCCTACTGAATGGGAAAAGATCATCACCAACACCACATCAGACAGAGGACTGATTTCCAAAATATATAAAGAACTCAAGAAACTAAACATCATATAATGCCGAATAATCTAATTAAAAATGGGGTTCAGAGTTAAACAGAGAATTCTCAACAGATGAATCTCAACTGGCCAAAAAACACTTAAGGAATTGCTCAACATCCTTAGCCATCAGGGAAATGCAAATCAAAATTACTCTGAGATTCCATCTTACACCTGTCAGAATGGCTAAGATCAAAAACAACAATGATAGCTTATGCTGAAGAGGATGTGGAGTAAGGGGAACACTTCTCCATTGCTGGTGGGAATGCAAACTTGTACAACCACTCTGGAAATCAGTAAGGCAGTTTCTCAGAAAAGTGGGAATCAGCCTACCTCAAAATCCAGCAATACTATTCTTGGTTATATGCCCAAAGGATTCTCAATCATACTATAAGGACATTTGCTCAACTATGTTCATAGCAGGATTATTTGTAATAACCACAACTTGGAAGCAACCTAGATGCCCCTCATCTGAAGAATGGATAAAGCAAATGTGGTATATTAACACAATGGAATACTACATCTTGAAATTTGCATGTAAATGTATGGAACTAGAAAAAAAAACATCCTGAATGAGGTGGAATCAGAGAGAGGCCATGTAACTGCTGAAGGAGACAAAGCCCTGGAACTTTACCAGTAAACCACGAGCCTCATGGTAAAATACAAAAGAATAGAAATGGGTTAATCTAAGATGTAAGAGTTAGTTAATAAGCCTAAGCTATTAGTCAAACAGTGTTGTAATTAATAGAGTTTCTGTGTAATTATTTTGGGTCTGGGCAGCCAGGAATGAGCAAGTGGCCTCTACCTACAAATTGGTGCACCAATGTGAGCTGACTACAGCCACATAAAATCTGAGAGAACTTAAAAAGGAATTCTAGACACACACACAAAGTTTAGTGTAGCTTCTTGAGATATATATATATATATATGGGCTCTGTTTGCTGGTGGCAAATAGGGGCACCATGGCTCCTTTAAGAAAAGACTTACTGATTCAGCATAAGTAATGGTGATATCCTGGTTCATGCTGGCAGCACTAATAGCTCTGGCTCTTTTAGGAGGCCAAGCACTTAAATGAGACCTGTGAGCAGCATGTTACAAATTGCTTAATGGTGACATAGACCTGCCGCGACCCTAAAGCTGGGGAAGTGTGCATGGCTCTCAGAGGCAGTGAACATGTCTCTGCTATGTTGGACTGGGCAAAGTCAACAAGCAGGACCTCAGAGTTGGTTCTAGCCATACCCGCTTAGCATTAAAACAAAAGTGCTCCTGGTCAGAAAATAATTACACATGCAATAAAGACAAACTCAGATGAAGAAAACCTCTAAATATGTCACAGTGTTGGATAAATGTATGTAGGCTTGGGAGAGAGAAAAAATAGTTGTAAAAAGAAGTAAATGGTTTTTTAAAAAGTAAAGTCTTTAAAAAGGCAGAGTAAAGACAGTCATAGATGAAAGGAGTAAAGAAAAATAATCCACGTAAAGATGGAAAATACACAGAGAATCTGATATGCATATTATCGTTTTTCTTTAATTTTTTGGCTGTAAATGAGCTGAGTGCAAAGAGGCATGTTATTGTACAGCCTTCTAAGCTAAACCAACATATTTATTTTAAAGGAATCTTGACTTCAAAATTTGGGTCTAAGGATATGTTACTTTGGAAAAGAGGTTCTTTTTTTATTTCCACAGAGAATGAGAACCTGTGATTCCTTCCAGACTAATGTGGTTTGAGGAACTAAGATACCCCCCAAAAGGTCTTCATGAACCCCTTCCCCCAAAATACTTTGCCCATCAAAAAGCAGGAAGCAGTTTGGAGGGAACTATGCCCAAATTCCCAAATATTGTTTATAAATGTTTGCTTACACATAAAGGGGGATATGATATAGAAATGAATACTTTGCATTGGTATGGATCTTGGTTTATTGATAGAAATTTAAGGTCAGCTTTATATATATATATATATACACACACACACACACACATATATATATATATATGCTCTTGACTAAAGTATTGTGTTTATACAACTTATTTAAAAATGTAATGTATAATTAAGAAATACAGGTTAATAGTCATTTATAATAGTCAAGCTTGTAGTCATATTAGGTTTTCTAGATGTGCAGAGATGTATTTCAGAAGGATAGATATTCTTCAAGCCTTTCAAAGACCTATAGAATATGGCATTTAAAGTGTTTTAAAACTTAGACTTTTCTCAACAGTGAGACATATCTGCTTATGGCAGCATCAATCTACTTCAAGAGGAAGATGGGCATCAAAGAAGCTCCTTGATGCTATGCTGTATAAACTGGACATGCAGGACCCACAGAAAAATGACTGTTGAACTTGCCTAAAGGTGAAACTGCTTCAGGGTTCCTGCTTCATGAAAGAGTCTGCCAGACATTCTGCAGGATACAGAAGAAAGTGACTGACAAACTGCCAATAGAGATGAAACAGTCTTTCAAATTTTCTGCTTCATGTAAAAGTCTGCAGGATACTGTGGGCCTGTAGGCTGAAGATGGATGCCCCAATGTTACAGAAGAACTTTGGGTGACTATACAGGCAGTGAGATGTCTCTGTTAATTCTAGAGCTTTGGTAGTTGCTTACAATGCACTTCCTGTTTACTTAGCTAATATTATCTCCTCCTGGAGTCTTTGATGGAATTGAAGAAAGATAGTTATAATTATAAAAGGTAAATAAGTTATAAAACTTTAGACTCACAAATATAGAATAGATGGTAGAGTATTTTCCTTAATTTGACAAATATAAATAAACTAAATATTGTAACTATAATTCTTGCTTGATATCTGTTTTGTTGTATGTAATCTTGCTGTGTTAAAGCTAAAACTTTCCTTTTTATTTAGACAGAAAAGGGGAGATGATGTGGGACTTCCCTCTGTATACTGTGAATATGTTTTATTACCATTGGTTAAAAAAGAATCTGCTTTGGACCTATGGCAGTGCAGAATAGATAAAGGCAGGAATTCCAAACAGAGATAGAGGAGAAAAGAAGGTAGAGTCAGAGAGACGCCGTGTAGCTGCCAAAAGAGACAGAACTTTACCAGTAAACCATGAGTCTGATGGTAAAATACAAAATATCGCACCTAAGAAGCTGAGAAAAAAATAGGAATGGGTTGATTTAAGATGTAAAAGTTAGTTAATAAGAAGCCTAAGCTATTGGTCAAGCAGTGTTATAATTAATATAGTTTCTGTGTGATTATTTTGGGTCTGGGAAGTTGGGAAAGAACAAATAGCAAAACTCAGAAAGCTCAATTTAGTGCAACTGTACTCAAAAAGCAGAAAATTCAACTTAGTGAAATTGGCCCAGAGTCGCAGGGCTGGTGTGGAAGCTTGCTGTTTGCATTTTGAGTTTAGAGAAAGCTGATGCACTAAACCCTCAGTCTGGTGCTTTTTCAGCTGCGTCAGTATGGACCAGCTTTCATCCTTGAATTACTACAGAGGAACAAATGAAAAGGCACTGTGAGGCCAGTGTCTGGAAGAGATACAGTATGTTCTAAAATAATGGCCTCTCGTGAAACTCTTACTATTGGTTTCTCAGAGTTTGTTATTCCATCATGGCTCTTCCTCCTGTTCTACCTCATTGGATGCATCAAGACCAGCTAAATCCCAAACTCAAACACATCCATAAACAATAGAAGTCTCAAAAGGAGTGCTGTATTTTCCATCCACAATTTAATATGCTCACATGAAATCGGAAGTTGTATCTGAACAACTAGCTGGGTCTTCTCCAGTGTAAGTTCTAGAATATATACAATCTTACTTTAAAGCCTGCTCAGATTTATCTCAAGATGCCAATGGGAAAAGTATTTTTTTTCTTATAAAAGTAGAATAATCACTATTTAGAGTACTAACAAAAATGCGGATAAGTATCATTGCGAAAAACTTTAGCCTTCTTTGTAAGATTTTAAGTAAATTATCTAATGTCATATGTACTCTTGGTCAACAACCTTCTTTATTTAAAAATAAAGTCAGAAAGGTAGGATGGCACACACTTTTACTCCTAAGACTCTGGAGATGAGCTAGGATCTCTGTAAGTGCCAGGCCAGCCTGATCTGCATACCTGTTGGTGGAGGCTGCTCTTTTGTTCCTGGCTACCCAGACTTGAAAGAATCACACAGAAATTGTGTTAATAAAATCACTGTTTGGCCTATTAGCTCTAGCTTCTTATTGATGAACTCTTACATCCTAAACTAATCCATCTCTATTAATCTGTGCATCACCATGAGGTTGTGGCCTACCGGTCAAAGTTTTGGCGGTCTCCAGCAGCAGCTCTTTTAGCCTGGCTATGTTCTGTTAAGCCATTGGCCAAAAGCAGCTTCTTCTTTTTTTAAATACATTTTTTTATTGATATTTATTGAGCTCTATATTTTTCTCTGCTCCCCTCCCTGCCTCTCCCCTCCCCTCTTCAACCCTCCCCCAAGGTCCCCATGCTCCCAATTTACTCAGGAGATCTTGTCTTTTTCCACTTTCTACTTCCCATGTAGATTAGATCTATGTAAGTCTCTCTCAGTGTCCGCATTGTTGTCCAAGTTCTCTGGAATTGTGGTTTGTAGGCTGGCTTTCTTTGTTTTATGTTTAAAAACCACCTAAGAGTGAGTACATGTGATAATTGTCTTTCTGTGTCTGGGTTACCTCATCCAAAATAATGTTTTCTAGCTCCATCCATTTTCCTGCAAAATTCAGTCTGTTGTTATTTTTTTCTGCTGTGTAGTCATTGTGTAAATGTACCACATTTTCCTTATCCATTCTTTGGTTGAGGGGCATTTAGGTTGTTTCCAGGTTCTGGCTATGACAAACAATGCTGCTATGAACATAGTTGAGCACATGTCCTTATGGCACGATTGAGCATCCTTTGAATATAAACCCAAAAGTGGTATTACTGGGTCTTGAGGAAGGTTGTTTCCTAATTTTCTGAGAAATCGCCACACTGACATCAAAAGGGACTGTACCAGTTTGCACTCCCACCAGCAATGCAAGAGTGTTCCCTTTCCCCCACAACCTCTCCAGCATAAGTTGTCATCAGTGATTTTGATCTTGGCCATCCTTACAGGTGTAAGATGGAATCTCAGAGTTGTTTTGATTTGCATTTCTCTGATGACTAAGGATGTTGAACATTTCCTTAAGTGTCTTTCAGCCATTTTAGATTCCTCTGTTGAGAGTTCTCTGTTTAGGTCTGTACTCCATTTTTTTTTTTATTGAATTATGTGATCTTTTGACGTCCAATTTCTTGAGTTCTTTGTATATTTTGGAGATCAGACCTCTGTCTGATGTGGGGTTGGTGAAGATCTTTTCTCATTCTGTAGGCTGTCGTTTTGTCTTGTTGACTGTGTCCTTTGCTTTACAGAAGCTTTTCAGTTTCAGGAAGTCCCATTTATTGATTGTTTCTCTCAGTGTCTGTGCTGATGGGGTTCTATTTATGAAGTGGTCTCCTGCCAATGCGTTCAAGTGTACTTCCCACTTTCTCTTCTATGAGGTTCAGTGTGGCTGGCTTTATGTTGAGGTCTTTGATCCATTTGGACTTGAGTTTTGTGCATGGTGATAGATATGGGTTTATTTTCATTCTTCTACATGTTGATATCCAGTTATGCCAGCACCACTTGTTAAATATGCAAAAGCAGCTTCTTTATTAACCAATAAAAAACAACACATATACAGAAGGACTTCCCACACTGCATAGCAAATTCAAGGCCAGCTAGGTCTACTATTAAATAAATAAATAAAATAATAGTAACAATAATAATAATAATCTGAGAGAGGCTGTCAGGAGAGCTCAGCTGGTAAAAGTACTTGCTACCATGCTTGACCACCTGGGTTTAATTCCAGGGATCCATGGAAGGGCTTCCAAATGCATGCTACATCATCTGTGTGTCTGCCTTCTGCAAGCACATGCCTATAAACCAATATAATGGGTGGTGGTGGCGCATGCCTTTAATCCCAGCACTTGGGAGGCAGAGGCAGGCGGATCTCTGTGAGTTTGAGGCCAGCTTGGTCTACAAGAGCTAGTTCCAGGACAGACTCCAAAGCTACAGAGAAACCCTGTCTCAAAAAAAGTATAGAATAGAAAATGAAAAAAAAAACAATGCAACTTAATTTTTTTAAAAAAAGAGAGATCTAGATAGTCTTTGTCATTGATAAGTCATTCTTTGCAATTTTATTTTTAGAAAATATAGACACACTAATCATCCGAAGCAGCTCCTCTGAAATCCGCTGCTCACAAACACAAAAATAGTGAACTCACATTTCACAACTCTTCCTGTCACCATGACAGAGGGGGCAAGATCAATTCTCAAGAGCTTGCTTTCTAATGAGGCAAACCATAGAATCCCATGAAACTGAAGCGCCTTGGCCAAATTTGACTCGTGTTTACCTGCCTGGCAGCCAGCTGGTGCCGTCTTTCCTTCAGGATGGCTTTTGGCCAAATCTGAACCCAGGTGCTCCCACTCACTGACTACCCAATCTAAGCCAAGAAGAACTGTTCTAATACTGGAAACAGATGGGCGATTGAGACCAAACTGGTTATAAACTCAAGGAATTGTGCGTCTCATGGAAAGACAACATCTTAAAAATCAAACCTTTAAGTCCTTTTTAAGCCAGACCAATCTTGATAGTGGATTCACAATTGGAGCTATCACTGGTCTCCTCCATTTACATTATCTTGCTTCTTATGAAAAAGGAAGAAGGGAAGAGAGAAGGAAGAGAGGGAAGGAGGAAGGGAGGGAGAAATAAGGAAGGAAGGAAGAAAAAGGAAAAGAAAGGGGGGAAAGCCATGCTGTTACCTCCATTAAAGAAACAGACTCCGGCTCTGGCCACTCCTTTAGTTTGTCCACACTGAAATAGTCATTGCAGTTCCAAGTTTTTGTGGCAGCCATAAATAATAGAATCTCTGAGCAAGAAAAACTGAGGAACTTATTGTATCGATGTGGAAAAAGCAGGGTTCTTAGGGACTCAGCTCCTCTTTCTTGTGTCCTAGAGACCCGAGTGTGCCTCACTGCGCTTCCCACGCTGTCGTGGGGACCAAAGCAGGAGTCAACACAGGATGCATAGCCTCGGGCTGAGGGTGATGGCCCTCAGCAGGGAAGGGTGGCCACCTCAGGCTGCAGGCTTCCTCTCAGATGGATGCTCCTGGGCTGATGGCATCTTGAGTGGGTAAGGGTGGCCTCCTCAGATGGAAGCTCTTAGTGGCCAGTTACTCTCCCTCAGATGGACGCTCCTGCAGTGGTCTGGTCGCCTCAGGCTCACAGGCCTCCCCTCCCCTCAGATGGATTCTCCTGCGTTGATCTGGTTACCTCCGACCCACAGGCCTCCCAGGCCGCCTCAGGGTCGGGCTGCTCTCTGGCTGGTTTCTACCCTGGGCACCCTGCAGCCTGCCTCCGTCAGTTCCCGTGGGTGGTGTCTCGGGCCCTGTCGAAGTGCGAAGCAGGGTCACGTGGTCTGCGACACCAACGTCCCTGGAATGGCGCGCTGACAGAAAACTAGAGCACTGTCTTTACACCTCTCCCTTGCCTCTCGAAGGTGTTTCTCCTCAGCTTGTGGGTGTGCAAGGATGCCACAGTCCCTGGTTGAAGCTTATAATGCTAGTAGTTTAATATGAAAAATAAAATTATAAATACAAATGTAGTGTTTAATGTGTCATGATAGCAAATAGTGCACACCTGACAAATATTAAATATTGTGAAAATATGTAATGTAACAATATCTGAAACCTTTTATATTTCATCTTAAGCCTATGTAATAGGTCTGGCCTGGACCTTGTGCTCCTCCTGCATCGGCCTCTGAAAGGAAGGATTGCATCCAGATAGGCCCCTACGGGTCGAGGCTCTGAGGACTTGGGAAGTATTTGGAATTGCCATTCCCATCCAAAGACGGCAAGAAAAGAAGTCCACTCGCTACTACCTGGACAGGTGTTTTTTGAAAACATATCTAGGACACAATCTGTTGTGGTTGAAAAGTAAGTGAAGACAGACCATAAAATTTTCTTTATTGAGAGTAGATGAGGGTCTCTTACACAGTTATCTCTATTTGTATATACTTTTCTGAAATTTCCCACAATATAATGTTTCACAATTTTTAATTGAGTTTTTCACCTGGAACCATGTGTAGATTGGAGGCAAGAGCCTAGAATACTCCTGGAATAAGGCAAATAATAAATATGGCATTGCAATAAAATATGACAATACAATTGATATCTTAAAGCTCAATTTCAGGAATCCTAGGCAGAAAGAATAACTTAGTCACAAACCAAGTGAACTGAGACAGACATTCAGGAAGATGGCTCTTTTTGTTGGCCCCTTCTGTGAACATTTTAATTTCAGAGGAAAATACACTTTTGGGAAAATGTAATGTCATTTCTTTTTGTTTTGGTTTTTGTTTTCAAGAGAGGGTTTCTCTGTGTATTCCTGGCTGTCCTGGAATTCATCCTGTAGACCAGGCTGGCCTCAAACTCACAGAGAGCCACTTGCCTCTGCCTTCCAAGTGTTGGGATTAAAGGCATGCACCACCACATCCGGTTTTTCTGTTTGTTTTGGTTTTTTTACATTGTAATTTCTTAATCATCACAGGCACTGAACTCTATATCAAAAGAAGTTTATTGTAGAGAACAGAATAATTCTTATGTTTCTTCCTTGGTTCGCCTCAGAAGGATTCCTGCCAGCAGGTAACTTCGTCTAAAGCAGCCTTCTTTTGTGGGTCCTTGTTCAGATCAGGAATCAGGATGTGTGGTTGTCACAACCTTTTGAAAGTAACAAAGGAGTTGAGTGTGACATAGTAATAAAGGGTTACAGGACCAGAAAGTTCCTTGGCTATGGGAGCTGATCCCCCAAAGTCATTCTGGCCAGAGTTGACACTACTCACAGAATCTAGCCATCAGCCCTTTGGAAACTCATTCTCAGGTTATCTTGTGACTTCAAATTACATTATGCACGTCCAACCTCATATCTCCTTTGACCTTCAGATTATACCGTAACCTGCCCACTGCACAGTTCCTCTGGGAGGTTGAGGTAAAAGATAAATGTTGCTAAATACAGCTGAATATTACTAAAATACACTTGATTTTAGTATTGGTATCTGTTAGGGAGAAAATGTTACGTTCTAAATGTGTGAAGATGAGTCTTCAAGAACCCGTGTGTGTGTGTGTGTGTGTGTGTGTGTGTGTGTGTGTGTGTGTGTGTGAGAGAGAGGGGGGGGGGGCAGGGAGAAAGGGAGAGAGAGCTTCCTTTAATCCTAGCACTCCAGGGACAGAAGCTGTCAGAGATCTGTGGATTTGAGGCCCACCTGGTCTTCACAGCAAATTCCAGGCTAGGAGGAGCACACAGTCATTCTGTCACTTAGTCATGCTAACTATAGAAGTGAGAGCCTTTGTATTCTGATTACACTTAGCATCTGAGGACACCTAGGCTAGGGGAAACTACCTTTACAGAACATGCTTAACTACTTCCTTACTTATTCGTCTGTTTCTTTTTTAAGAAAGAGACTGCTGGAGACTGAATTTCGCACATGATAGGTAAATACTCTCCATTGGGCTACATCCTGATGAACAGCTAGAGAAAAGGCTAAATTACTCAATAGTCATATCCTATAAGTGTACATTGGAATGGTAAATTGGTTGTTGTCTAGTTTCTTAGAGACAGCATTTCATGGTTTCATGTATCCTAGACTGGCCTTGAACTCTTTATATAGCTAAGGGTAGCCTTGAATTCTTCATCCTTTTGCCTCCACCTCCCACATGCTAGGATTACAGGTGTGCACCATGACACCTGACAAAGTGACATTATAAAAGAAAACATGGCTGCTTTGTAGCCAGTTATATGCAGGAAATTTAATTTAGCCCCAGGAAGCATTACCTCATCTTTGTACTTCTTCCTTAATCTCTCCAAGTTCCAGTCCAACTTTTATAATCAGAAGTAGGACCATCGTCCATCCAGACTCCTCAAGACAAAAACCTCAAGAACACAGTTGTCTTTGGTTTCTTGCTTTCACTCGTTTCTCATGTCGAACACTAATAGCTTTGTTGTCTTGCTCTCTCCTTAGGTCCCATGACCACACGGCCATCACTAGACATCAAGTTACTATGCTCCTGATCCAGTGCCCTGGTCTACCAGCCAGATTGTTCTGGCCTGCATATAACTGGCTACAAAGCAGCCATGTTTTCTTTTATAATGTCACTTTGTCAGGTGTCATGGTGCACACCTGTAATCCTAGCATGTGGGAGGTGGAGGCAAAAGGATGAAGAATTCAAGGCTACCCTTAGCTATATAAAGAGTTCAAGGCCAGTCTAGGATACATGAAACCATGAAATGCTGTCTCTAAGAAACTAGACAACAACCAATTTAAAAAAAAAAGGAAAATAAAGAAAAAACCTTCCCCCAAAGTCACTTAGGTATGTGTATAATCAAAACCTCTGAATGGCTCCCGAGTGGCATCTACCTCTCTCCAGTCCCTTCTTGTCAGCCTCATTCCCCTCTCAAGCTGCTGTGTCAATCTTCTCCCTGGATGTGCTTCCCCCTAAGACTCTCCATGGCCCACCCTCAGCTCCTTTCCTTTTTTTTTTTTTTTTTCAAGACAGGGTTTCTCTGTGTAGCCCTGGCTGTCCTAGAACTCAATATAGACCAGGCTGGGCTTGAACTCACAGAGGTCTTCCTGTCTCTGCTTCCCAAGTACTGGAATTGAAGATGTGCTCCATTATTCCCATTCCATCCTCAGTTTCTAAGGCCACTGAACAATGTCATCTCTTCCAGGAAGCCTTTCCTAGTTTCTCCATTTAAAATGGTGTCCTCATCCATCCCCTTCTTTGCTGTCCTTATCTAACTTTCTCCTCCTCACTCATCAACTCACCTGTTCTACATTTATTTTGATTGTTCTCTTTCTTTACCATCAAAAGCTCAACAAAAGCAGAGATTTCCCTGCAGTTCACCATTATGGATCCAGCCCCTTACATACTGCCTGACTCAGAACAGGTATTTGTTAAGGTAGGGTACAAAGTAAGCAACCACATGGAAAAAAGAACTAAACAACGACAGGCAAAGATGGTAAAACAGAGTGCTGACAGGTTTAGTAAACTCTCAGGAATGGATAAAATAAATCTCCCCGGAGAAGAGACTGTCCCCATCGTACAGGACCCAGCGATGGGAAGGGAAACTGAAGTGTAATAGTACCCTCTAGACCTACTTGTGTCAGACTAGCTCTGTCACAGGACACCACAGCACTGGAGTTCCCATGGGATTGAAGTCTCTATGCACACCTGTATCTCTAGGCAGTCTACATTTGGGAGCTGTTACTTTCCTTCTTTCCTTACTGCTTTTAGTATTGACCCTTTTTAAAACTAATTCTTGATCTGAATTAAAAGAAACAATTTTTTTCTTGACTACAGGTAAATCAGAGAAAGAGGGTAGAGGTGGTAGACAGATTACCCAATCAGGAGTCAACTCAGGAGCCAAGGAAATACTAGACCATCTGGGAAGTCCACTATGTGGCTCCATCAGGCTGCAAGGACACTCTCCACTGCCTCTAAATGACACCGGTCTTAGTTTCTTCTACTGCCCACTAGCGATGTGCTCAATAGCATCCTGGATTCTGCAAAGCCTACCATATCAAGAAGTTCCCAACTGCTTGGACTGGGTGTCAGCAAGTGCTACCCTGTGTATCACAAAATGGGACTGACTGTCCCAGCTCTCACCGCATCCTGGTCCCCGTTCCTTTCTACCTCCTGGCGGAGGGCTGCAGAAGAATGGCGACCTTCAGCACTGATCCCTTTAGAACTTGGGTTTTTTCCCTCCTGGAGACACAGATCTTCACTGTCCAGAGAGGAAAGTCCTTTGTTTCTGTAGGAAGAACCAGGAGCAATCCTTTTAACATTTAACTCAGTAGAAGAACTAACATCTTCATTTAAAAATCTAAGTTTATGAGATCTATATGAACTCACATTCTTATGCAAACTAAAAGGTAACCACCTTGTTGTAGTATTATATTTGTTGAAACTATATAATCAAACAGCTGAGTGATAGTCCCTTGTCCTGAACAATGCCCTCAGCATTGTGCATTTGCTATCCTTGAGAAGCTCCAAACTGACCTAAAATCAACCTGACCTAGTGAAATTGGTCCTCCAAATACTGGTCAGAGTGACGCTGTCTTGCAGCACGCTGCCAATTTTAAGTGTTCTTATGCCAGAACAGCTAAACAAGCTACCCTTCTTATGCCTGCACAGTGTCTGCCAAGACAGGGCCTTTAAGAAGAAGGACAGAGCACACATTCATGTATCTTTCTTTCCTAGAGTCTGTTTTCTGTGCCTCATGTCCACGCCCATAGTTGCCTATGCTGCTGGTAGGTAGCACTCCAAACCCAGGTTTACATGAATCCTGATTAAGACTTAAAGTCGTACACAGGGCTAGTAAAGGTGGTGTTGCAATAGGAGAGAGAGGGAGGAGTGGAGTGGGCCATGCTTACTCATTGCTTCATAACTAACCTCTGATAAATTCATTGTTCTCATTAAGATGAACTTGATTGAGAGGGAGGCAGGCATATCTTAATCCCAGCACTGGGGAGGCAGAAGCAAGTGGATTTCTGAGTTCCAGACCAGCCTGGTCTACAGAGTAAGTTCTAGAACAGCCAGGGCCACACAGAGAAACTGTTTGGAAAAGCAAAACAAAAGGATAAACTTGAATAAGTCATTTTAGGGTTGCTGGCACTGGTCCAGTTTGGGGGCAGGTATTAACTGTATAACTCCCCCCAAATTACACAACACCTCTCCACACCTATTGCTATCATTGGGATGCTTCTCTCATTCATGGAATATAGTCTTACTCCTTTTCCAGAGGGAGCTGGAAGACTAATGCCTCTAGTCTAAAACACAAGTTCCCAGGTGTCCAACAATGTGAACAATTATCTGAGTCATACTCGGAGAGGTTTTATGAAAACCTTTGTCCCGTTGACAGAAATTACAATAAGATGTTGATTACTGGGTCAACAAGATGGGTCAGTAGTAAGAACACTTGCTGTCAAGTCTGATGACTTGAGTTTGATCCATGGGACTTACATGGCAGAAGAAAAGAACTTGGGCAAACCCTACCTCTGTGCTGTGGTACACACTTTCATGTTCATATTCTCTCTCTCTCTCTCTCTCTCTCTCTCTCTTTCTCTCTCCCTCCCTCCATCCCTCCCTCCCTTCCTCTTTCTTCCTATCTTTCCCCTCTCTCTGTCACACACACAATATATAAATACATAAATAAATGTAATTTAATCTCTGTCTTGAATGTTGGAATTAAAGGTGTGTGCCACCACCACCCAGCTGGTTCTATGTTTTCATTTCTTCTGAATATAAACCTGGCAATAGGCTGGGAATAATAGTATATGTCTTTAATCCCAGCACTCTAGAGGCAGAGTCAAGAATGAGTTCTAGGTCAGCCAGGGGACTAAACAGTGAGGACCACGTCTCACACCACACACACACACACACACACACACACACACACACACACACCACTCAAATAAAATCAGCACTAGAACTATGATGGACGAGGGTCATCTGTCTATGTGTTACTCTCATTGGTTAATAAAGAAACTGCCTTGGCATTTTGATAGGGCAGGATTTAGATAAGTGGAGTAGACAGAACAGAATGCTGGGAAGAAGGGAAGTGAAACCAGATGCCATGGAGCCAGCCGCCAGGTCAGACATGCTGAATCTTTCCCGGTAAGCCACCACATCGTGGTGCTACACAGATTACTAAATATGGGTTAAAGCAAGATGTGAAAATTAGCCAAGAAAAGGCTAGATACAATGGGCCAGGCAGTGTTTAAAAGAATACAATTTGTGTGTTGTTATTTTGGGTGTAAAGCTAACCATGCGTGAGCTGAGCATCACGAAAAGCAGGCCTGCTCACCTCATTGCTACAGAACTATGCCACATGGTAAGGTAATGTTTACCATTCTAGAAAACTGACAAACTGTTTCCCAAAGTTTCTGCACTATTTTCAACTCCCTCTAGCAATGATGACGGATTCTATTATTTTTAATCAGATTATGAGAAGTTACCTTTTTCTATAACTATGTGGAGAAATCTCTAGCCACACACCATTTTCTCAGGAGGATCTTGCTATGTAGCCCAGGCTGTATTCAAAATTAAGATCTTCCTGCTTCAGCCTCTCAAGTACTGGAATACAGGTGTGTACTACCACCCAGCTCTTTTGTGTGTGAAACCTCTCATTTTTAACTAATCAGTACCTAATAACTTATTTCCCATGTTGCACACATAGTTCTATGAATTACTTCCCTGCTGTACGTTTTCACTCTGGTGCAGGTATTATTCTGACTATATCTGCCAAAACTAGTTTCAGTCTAAAATTCTCATAACTTTAGTACAAGTTGTTAACCATCTCCCCCAGCCCCATTTTTGTACTTGCTGCTTCTGTGCTATTTGTTCCTTTAAACAAAGAAAAGTCTCTTTACCCTGACATTGTGTGAGGCCTTGGCACTAACTCAAGCAATCTGAAAGGCTGGTAGAGAAGGCAACACAGCTACGCATCTTAAATGAAAGGAGAGCAAAGTTATAAAACAAGAGGCTTACTTGTAACTGACTGCCTTTTCTTCCTCCTGGAATTCCAGAATATCAGGCACCCTTCTCAGTGGATTCAAATCAAAACTACCAGCATTAAAATTCACCTTTACTTTGACCCTTTAACAAGAAAGTATGTGTCAGGACATTGTGAAACAGTGCTCATTTGCATTTAAGCTTTAATTATCATTAGATACTGACTGCTATAAATATGGTCCAAAATACCATCACTTGACACTGCTATACTTTCTCAATGATACTAGTTGTTTAAGAGCTTCTGAAACCATAATGGAGAATGGCGTGATGTTTGCTGAGAACCAAGATTAGGCAGGCAAAGTTGAACCCTTCCCTCTAATCCTTGGGAGTTTATACTCTAATGTAGAAAGAAGTCATAAAGTCAGATGTAGTAGAACAGGCCTGTATTCTCAGCCCTTGGGAGGCAGAGGCAAGAAGACTGCCACAAATAGGGCAGCCATAGGAGATAAACACAATGATGACAGCTCTTAGAACAGCAGGCTGGAGACAGGCTCAGGGACAGAGAGCCTGCCCAGCAAGCGTGAAATCCTGCAGTCAGCACATGAGCTCCAACTTCGAATTTTCTCTTTCTTCCTGACCCTCCAGTTATGAAACTGCATAAATCTTTTCTTTTATCATATCAATCTCTTTATTTTATCCCTCTGCTATCATCCTGAGGCCCTCACACAACATGGATTCCTATTTAAAAACAAACAAACAGGCAGAAACAAAGAAAGTCAGGCCTAGAGACATAGCTAAACTGCAAAACCTGCTTATCCAAATGACCTAAGTTTGGTCCCCAGCAACCACTCTGACAGCTCACAAACACCTGCAACTCCAGCACCATAACACCCAACACTCTCGTCTGGACTCTGCAGACTCCTGCACTCATGTTCCCACACCCATACACAGAATCACACAGATACAAAGAAATTCAAAATAAAAACATCTTAAAAACAATAACAATTAAAAAAAACTCTTTAGCGATCTGGAGAGTTGGATGGTGGCTGGCTTAGCTGTTAAGAGCACTGGCTGCCCTTCCAGAGGACCCAGGTTCAATTTACAGCACCCACATGGACAGTTCACAATTGCCCGAGGGAGTCCAATAACTTCTTTTGGCTTCTGTGAGCTGCACACGCATGGCATACTTGTTTTTACTGTCTGTAGAGTGCTAAAGGCAACAGCTATAATACCCAAACATAGATCAACTTCTAATAAACCAATTCCCCCAATACTAATGGGAGGCAGAAGAGGCATGTCAGTTTCTACAAAACAAAACAAAAAAACCCTGCATCTGCACTATTTTTCCATCTCAAGTGTCTGATACTCAATCAAAAAAAAACCATAAAATTCGGGTTAGTTGTGGGGTGCACGCCTTTAAATACAGCACTTAGGAAACAGAGGCAGGAAGATCTCTAGAGCTGAGTTCAAAGCTAACCTGATGTACAAGGGGGAGTTCAAAGACAGCCCAGGGCATGGTGGGAACCTCTCTCAAAAACAAAAATAAACAAACAAACAAACAAACAAACAAAAAAGGTGACTGTTCTTCCAGAGGAGCCAGGTTCAATGCCGAGTATGGTGGCTCCCATTTAACTCTGGTCTCAGGGTATCTAATACCCTCTTCTGTCCTCTGCAGTCAATAGCTATACACGTCATGTAAAAATAGACATGCAGACAAAACACATAAATATAAATAAATCTTTTAAAATTATAAGGCAAGCAAAAAAAAACAGGCAAAATATAATGCCTAGTCAAGATTTAAGGCAATCAACAGAACCAGACTGAACTAAATTCAAAAATGATCCTAATGTTGGATCTATCAGATCAGAAATTTAAATAATTATGATTAGTATGGCCTTTGAAAAATTCTGGTTGAAAAAGTGGACAATGTGCACTAAAAGATGAAGAATTTTGGAAAAGGTGAAAACTCTGAAAAATCACATGGCAAAGCTAAAGTCATGATATCACAGTTGGTGTCTCTGATGGGTTCACCAGCAGACAGCATGCAACAAGGAGGCTCTGTGAGCTTACAGCCAGCTCAATAGAAATCATCTAACCCAAACACAGTAAGCAAAGTCAACCACTATCCAAGACTTACACAACTGTGGGTGTTATCCATGGTCACACACACACACACACAGAACCTCAGAAATTAAACGCAGACAAATGGTACATGAGAAATATTTGAAGTAATAATTGTCTAGATTCTCCCCCCAAATTAATGAAATATGTATACTGATAAAAATGAAAATTTCAGAGGACTCTAAGAGGAAAAACTAAGCTTAGATACCTCATAGCCTACCCAACAAAAGCCAAAATTGGAGAATCCTGATAGAACTCAAGAAACACATCACATATGGAGGAACAATAAATTACAGCAGACTTCATTTTCAAAATCATTACTGAAACAGATCACTATCTCAAGAAAGAATTTTCAAAGTCCAGGAAGCCCACAACTTCTATTACATCAATTATTACCTGCTCTTTTTACAAAATTCACTCTCTATATATCTCATGGGCACTTTAAGCCATTCATTTGGAGTCATGCATTGCCTTGAATTAGAAATACTCGGGAACCTGGACTGCAATCGGGCCTTCTCGATCTCTTTAAATTCTTTCATTGTATAGATTTTGCCTGCAAGAAAATTAGCAATCTAAATCAGCATGCTTAAACACAACTGCCTTCACTGTCAGGCCAAGAGTCACCTAAGAGTTACATACCAGTCTCACACTGAAGAAGAGTTCGCTTCTCATCATCCTTGTCATATTGAGCTTTCTTCAAAGGGTCACGAACTGGCGGTATGATAACCTACAAGAGAAGCACTTCTTTGAGGCCTGGGCTGCAGGTCTGAGTATCAGCATTCAGTCCACCCTACACACCCATATGTTTTCACGCCAGAAGAGTCAAGACATGGGACCTATTAACATAGAGCTATTAACATATGTAACACATTCAAAAGAGATGGGTTCTCTGACACTCTTCTTATGAGGTCATACAGCTTTGAGGGCCTGTCTGCATCTCCTGCCCTGCTCTGCTCTAATGCCTCCCTAGGAGCCTCGTTCACTCGCCTCCATCTGCACTGGTGGCTGTCTTGTCAACCTGTCACAAGTTAGGATCACCTGGGAGGAGGGAACCTTAACTGAGAAAATGCTCCCCTTCCCCTTTCGTTTGCACGTTTCTGCTGCCCCTGTCCGTGGGAAAGTCTGACATCTGCTGGTCTGCTGACACACCTGGCTCCGACATTGCCCTTCATTCTGGCTGCTTGTGCACATGCTGTCCCTCCACGGCTACAGAACTCTTTCCTGTTTCTTTTTACCGCCATCGGTATCTAAGGCACTTAATGCCTGTAGGTTGCATGCACATGTGTGGGAACAGATAAAATAACTTCCGGGTCACAAACCGTTACAGAGATAAGCATCATAAAAATTGTTTGTAAGAGCAATACTCAGTCTTCAGGAAAATGACAACATTGCAAGGTGTGGTAAATGACTAGAGACTCATTTATGCCCTGCTGCTCATAGGTGGGTGAACTGACAAATAACCTATTTGTGCTACACTGCCTCACACAACAGCAGGGGAGATGGATTTCTTTAGGAGACAGTAGACTCAGTGGTAGAATGAATGCTTTATATATAGAACGAAAAACAAACATTTGGTTAACACCAACTAGTTTTAAATAGATAAAGAAGTCCAGAAAGGTAAATAAAAATGTTAATGAGTTTGTTTTGGGAAGTGGAAATGTTGTGATACTTTGTTTGTGTTCTGACAAATATCTGACCCCTGGTTTTTATTATCAAGATTAATTACGATCCTATACACTGTGAATATGTGTTGTTCTCACTGGTTAATAAATAAAGCTCCTTTGGCTTATGGCAAAGCAGGAGAGACCCAGGTGGGAAATCCAAGCAGAGAAACAGGTGAAGAAGGGCAGAGCCAGGGTAACACCAGCAGCCATCCAATGAACAAATGCCAACAGACAATACTTAGATTAATAGAAATGGGTTAATTTAAATATAAGAGCTAGCAAGAAATAAGCCTGTGCCATTGGCCCAACATTTACAATTAATTCTAAGCCTTCGAGTGGTTACTCAGGAACTAGCAGGCAGGGGAGAAACTTCCAGTTACATGGATTGTTTTATTTTATTTATATTCTGAATTTAAAGTTAGTTTTCTCATTTATTATAAGAACTCATCAGATCTTTAATCCCAGCACTAGAGAGGCAGAGGCAGACGGTTCTCTGTGAGGCCAGCCAGGTCTACATAGTGAGTTCCAGAACAGCCAACACTACATAAAGAGACCCTGTCTCAAAATACAAACAAAAGAATGTATTACTTCTGTAACAAAATCTAAAGTCTTTGAAAATATTTAAACATTTCCTATTACTCAATTATTATACAACATTTTCACACTTTCTGAGATTAATTCATCTTTGGCCTTTGGGTTATTTATTGCTTTTCTAAAATACTAGGTAGGGAACTACTAACAATGCTACTGAACTTTAAGAACTCACTCAAGGGCAAGCAACACCTATGTTAAGCACACTTACAACAACCACACACATACCACCATGATTAAAAAAAAACTGCCTACCTTCAGAAAATTGGGGTCCTCTTTGTTCGTATAAAAAGGGTCATATTCTTTTGGATCATAATGCTCTATAAACGCATTTTCCTATAGGAAGGAAATAAAACTGCACATAAGAAAGGGTACACAATTAACTTTGAGGATAACGGAAGTCAAAAGTTTAACAGTTTGTATCCCTGTTTTCAGTCATAAGGGACAAACCTGAGGCACTGAGCTACAGTCCCAGTCCTACAAGGTTCCAGTCTTATGCTTGAGAATAGCACCAATGCATCGATGCCATCTCTTCATGCACATGACAGTTCAGTGGGTAAAGTCCTGCCACCAGACTGATGGCCTCAGTGCAATCCCTTGAACTAATACAGTAGGAAGAGAACTCTGACTTCCAAGAGCTCATCACATACACACACACACACACACACACACACACACAGAGAGAGAGAGAGAGAGAGAGAGAGAGAGAGAGAGAGAGGAATAAATAAATACAATTTAATTTTTTAAAAGAATATATTGTTTATATCAGAGTATTGGTTGTACATAAATAGAAGAGGAAGAGGCAGGACTCTGGATGAGCCAGTGAGCAAAGATAAACATAATTTTTAAACCACTATAAAAGTACAAAATCACCTTAGTACCTTCTTATTAACATATCTCAAAAAATTCTCTAATTCTTGTCGTCTCCTCTTTTTAATCTTCTTATGTGAAGAAACTTTTTCTATAATTTTCTTCTGTAGAGGATCTTCCACACGCTCAACCCATTTTTTATACAACATTTCTTTTCTTCTTTCATTTAAGAATTCATAATGATTTAAATACTTGTCTAATTCCTAGTAAACAGTGACAGAAAGAAAAAAATTATCCTGAAGCTTTTATCTCCTAAAATTTTATAAAACTTAAACTTCATAGCTTAAATTATTCTTTAGGATAATCCACCATTGGAGGTTGGAGAGATGGCTCAGTGGTTAAGAGCACTGGCCACTCTTCCAGAGGCCCAGAGTTCAATTCTCAGCTACCACATTGGTGGCTTACTACCATCTATAATGGGACCTGATGCTCTCTTCTGGTATACAGGTATACATAACACTCATAGCTAAACAAACAAACAAACAAACAAATAAGGCTTCCATCATTTGGCACACACTGCCAAAAACAAGGATACATGGACAATGGAGGCACATGCCCACCCTCTTGATAATTAAATATGCTGGGCCAGTGAGATGACTTAGCAGGTGAAGAAGTTTGTCCCTTAAGTCTGGCAACCTGTGACCCCAGAACCCATATAATGGTAAAGAAGAGAACCAATTCTGTGAAGTTGTCCTATGACTTCCACGTGTGCGCCACGGCATGTGTGTCCACACATATATCACACATACACACATATACAATAATAATAAATAAAAATTTTATTTAAGCTGGGCAGAGGTGGTGCATGCCTTTAATCCTAACACTTGGGATGCAGAGGCCAGTCAGATTTCTGAGCTTGAGGCTAGCCAGATATACAGAGCAAGTTCCAGGATAGCTAGGTCTACACAGAAAAACCTGGTCTCAAAAAAAAAGTTTTATTTAAATTAAAATAGATCAAATATACCACACAGTGGGAAGAGAGGAAATATAGCAACTTTGCATACATTATAAGTGAAGTCATTCTAGCAAAATTATTTTATGACATGTATGTGTGTGGCAGGTATACTCACCTGTACAACACTAAAGAAAGTCTCCCAAAGCACAGGAGATTGGCAGTCATTAAAACACTCTCAGAGATGTGTTCCACTTAATCTCAATTGCTAATAAGTGTTTTTAATTCTATTTTCTAATTATTTGAAACCTCAAGTTTTACTCAAAGTTGTTAAGTAGAAACTACATGGAAATGAAAAAAAATTATCTAAGATGCATTTTGTAGCTAATTCTTACCTTTATTACATAATTTTCTCTGTATAAAATTGATTGAACAGCTGCATCAGTGTCTTCTTTAGCTAAAGCCTAAAAGAACAGAATTAGTCCAAAAATCAAATCTTGAACAATCATTAGCATTATCTGAGCTTATTATATTTTTATATGAAAGGCATATCCCTGAAACATTCTCTGTAAACCCAACGTTTCTATATCATTAAGTGCTTTCTCAAAGACTCTTTTGATCTTTCTGCTCTTGGTTACAGCTCATTCTAGGGCAAAAAATAATTGACCTCACAGGCGTTTTGAGTCCCAGAACCATCAAATGACTTCCCCACATCTCTGGCAAATGTTTTTACCTTTCTGGGTAAAGACAGGCATGCACAGGCTCTACTTGACAGACTAATCTCTCTGTATATCTAATGGAAGACTATGAGTTTAGCACACCTTAGGCAAACCTAATCCTAGAAAAAAGTAACTGAAATAAAACAACACAAGGTCAAAGAAAGGGCTTCATTACACTTCCTGGTCCTATTCTTACTCTTTTATAACGAATTTACCTATTGATTTGACTTTGAAAATTGCTTTTTAAAAACGAAAATGTAAAGCCTGGCATGGTGGCGCACATCTTTAATCCCAGCACTCAGGAGGCAGGCAGACCTCTGAGTTCCAGGACAACCGGGGCTACACAGAGAAACTCTGTCTTGAAGAAACCAATCCATCAATAAACAAACGAACAAATACTAAAATGTAAAGACTGTGGATAATATGAATCATGGGTTACATTTTTTATCCACAAACTTACAAATAAACATGAAATATGAAAGTATAATCAAATATATGGCTGGATCTTTATAAAATATAAGAATGGTGGATTGAAATAGAGACATTTTCTCTTAAAGTCTTCTTACATTGTTCTAAGACAGGATCTTAGAATGTAGCCCAGACTGGCCTGGACTCATTATATAGCCCTGGATGACCTCAAACTACTGCCAATCCATTCCTTGTCTTGGTCTCCCAAGTGCTGGGATTACAGGCCTGTGTATGTTTCTTTAACTAATTTTCCATAACAATCTACCAGCTTGATAGACTGAAACATTTTTTCTCAAAGGCAATACAGACATACATATAATTAAAATAAATACATTTATTATTAATGAAGACCTTGTAATCACCTAATAAATTTATGTATTTTTGTGTGGGCTTGGTGGGCTTTTGTTGTTCATTTTGAGACAGGGAATCAATCACTTTATAGCCCTGGCTGTTCTAAAACTCACTATGTAGACCAGATTATCTTCAAATTCAGAGATCTGCCTGTCTCTCTAACTCCTGAGTACTGGGTTTAAAGTTGTGTGCCACCAAACATAACTGAACCACAATACAAACTCAAATATGTATCTACTATTTTGTGTGTAATGGAGTCTGACTATGTATTCCAGCCTAGCCTAAAACTTGCTCAGGAGTCTTAGACTTGTGATCCACCTGCCTCAACTTTCCAAGTGCAAGGATTACAGATGTGAACCAATATCCTTGGTTTCAGAATTCATTTTCTTTCCTCCTTTTGCACAGACAAACAAAACAAAACAACACAAAATCAGCGATCTGAAGGCCCTGGAGAGTGGTCCAAACAGCCCCATCCCTTCATGCCCAACTCGTTTCAGCCAGAGCTAATGGAGGTAGCGAAAACTCCCATGCGTGCAGTCTTACTGATTGGTAACTATGGAAGATGTTTTCCTTAGCAGTGCTGGAGATTAAGCTTGTGCAAGCTAGGCAAGTGCTCTACCACTGAACCACATCCTCAGGCCCAACCATGATGAGATGAGAGAGGAAAGGAGACATCTCTAAGAGGGTCACAGAAAGAGTGCCGCAAAGTCCACGAAAGGACTGGCCAAATCTCCAGTAAACACTTGCCCTCTCTGTGGACCAGACTCTATGCAGTAAAACCAAAGCTTAAGAAAAGCAGAGTGGCTTCACCTGCTGCCAACTGGAAGACAAAATTTGGAGCCTGAACTCAGCAGAGTTAAGCGTCTGGGAAGTTTAATATTCCTCATAATGACATAAAAGAATCAAGGTCCTCTAAAATGCATCATTCATACTGCCTAAAATAGACACAGAGGAAAAGGAAAATGTGACCCACACTTAAGAAAAACATCAGCAATACTAGGACGGTCCATTAGTTGAAACTGAAATATAAAGCCTTTGGGGGTGTGGGCATGGTACACATGCCCTAATTCCAGTTATTCCAGTTTCTTGTGAGGTTGAAGCAGGAAGAGAAAGAGTTGAAAGTCAGGCTACACTATACAGTAAAGTCCTATCTAAAAGAAAAAAAAAGAGATTTTGGAAAGGGTAAAAATATGCTAAAAATGAAAGGACAAACTTAGCAAACAAACAGAAGCAAGAAAAGTGGAAAAATCCAGTTCTTACGTTTTATTTTTTTTTTTCAGTTCTTACGTTTTAAAAAGACACAAATTTCAGTCAAGCACTGAGATAGTATTTGGTCATGAAAAGGAGGACGTAGGAGACTGGGCAGTGGTGGTGCATGCCTTTAATCCCAGCACTCAGGAGGCAGATTTTTGTGAGTTCAAGGCCAGCCTGGTCTACAAGAGCTAGTGCCAGGACAGGCTCCAAAGCTATAGAGAAACCCTGTCTTGAAAAACAAACAAAAAAAGGAAAGAAAGAAAGAAAAGAAAGAAAGAAAAAAGAAAAAAAGGGTGTAGGAACTAAAGAGAAAGTTTGGTGAAGAGTGCTTGTTCCTCTTCCAGAGGACCAGAGTGAGGTCAGGTCAGTTCTCAGCCCCACATTAGGTAACTTACAACCATCATAATTCTAGCTCCAAGGGACCCAACACCCCCTTCTGACGTATACAAACACCTGTACACACACATATAAAAAACTGTTTAAAAAGCATGAGTGCATGGTTGAACTTTGAAAACATTATTCCAAGGGAAAGAAGCCAGTCACAAAGGACCACATATTATGTATGACTCATTTGTATAAATGCCTAGGATAGGCAAATCCACAGAAATAGAAAGTAGATTACTGTTACCAACAACTAGAGGGCAAAGAGAATGAGGTGCAATTGCAGAAGGAAATAGCTTCTTCTTAGGAATGATGAAAATATTCTAGAATTAAGAGAGTAGTAGAAGACACAAAGCCTTGTGAAAAAAACTGAAAGGATACTTAATTGTACATTTTAAAGAAGTGACTGTTATGATCTATAAATTATATCTCAATATTAAAATTTCAATAATAACCTAATTCTAGAAAGAACAAAATATTTGAACAAACTTCACCAAAGAAGATACATAGCAAGCAAAGATGTCTTAATGACTAATTAGGTTAATAGTCTTTTAACTATACAATAAAACTTAAGACTATACCAATGTTGGATAGAATATGAAAAAAACTGTAACTATCATATGCTGCTAATGGGAATGTAAAGTAACAACTTTGGGAAATAGTTTGACAACTTCGCAAAACGTTAATTTACCTCACAACTAAAAGTTACCAAAGGAAAATGAAAAACGTCCATACCATGACATGAATGTGAATGCTTAGAAGAGCTTTATTATTTATTTATTTATTTATTTTTATTTTCGGCTTTTCAAGACAGGGTTTCTCTGTGTAGCCCTGACTGTCCTGGAACTCTGTAGACCAGGCTGGCTTTGAACTCGCAAAGAACTGCCTGCCTCTGCCTTCTCAATGCTAGGATTAAAGGTGTGTGCCACCATTGCCCAGTTAGAAAAGCTTTTAATTGCTTCAGATTGGAAACAACCCAAATGCCCATCAATAAGACGGACCAATTGGAACATAGTCATTGAGGAGACGGGCAGTTGCTAAGAGGAGCACTGGAATAGTTAGTGATGCGTACAACAGCGTGGAGGAACCGAAAAACAGTGTTAAGTGAAAGCAGCCAGATAAAAGGATGACGGAAGAGCCAGGCATGGTGGCGCAGGCCTTTATCCTCAACACTTAGGAGCAAGAGGCAGGTGGATCTTTTAGTTGGAGACCAGCCTGTTTTACAGAATGAGTTCCAGGACATCGGTCTCAAAAAAAAAAAAAAAAAAAAGAACATGTAAGTTTTCCCTGCATAAAACTTTTTAAGTCAGCGTGGTTACAGGAAATGTGGGAAATGTTGGGGGGGGGGCACTGCAAGGACATGAGGAAACTGGGAATATTGAATATACTTGATGTGTAACAATGGTTTCGGGAGCACATACATGCCAAAACTTAGCAAATTATGCACTTTAAGTGTATGTATTTACTGTATACCAATTATACCTTAATAAAACTATTTGGAAAAACATATCCAAGTTTCAGTGGATGTTTAACAGCTTTGCTATCTATATTAGAAAAGATTTATAAATCAGTGGCTTGTGATTCTACTTTAAGCAGCTCTCTACTGAGAAGCAAAGGACTAGAACAGGGAAGAAAAAAAGCTCAAGTTAGTACAAGACCCCTTTCTAAGCAAAGACCTCAAAAGTCATACACTATACCTCCATAAAAGAAAGCGACTGTGGTTCCAACCATTCTTTGGAGCTCTTGCGCTTAGGAAGTGTGCCCGTTACCAGATCATCTTGGTTCCCATTTTTCATTGTGGTCACCAAGTAACAGGGTCCCTAGAAAAGCTAAAACAGCGTTTATTTTGTAATTAAAATTCACAGTAGTTTTCTTTTTTATTTAATAATCAACACTCATGACCTTGGGCATCCGTGGAATGAATCTTCGAAAACGGACCATCCTTGTTTCCCTTCCGGTTGCCATGAAACAGGGGACTTTTGGAGACCTCATGGCTACGGGTCATCCGACCAGCCTCTAGGAATCTCATCCCCAGCAGTTCCCTAAATCTGATAAAACTACTGGGGCACAAATGAGCTCTTGGAGAAGAAAGGGAATTTTGGACGAAATTCGGGTCTTCAAGCTCCAAGAGGCTCCAAGCCCTCCCCAGGGTCTGCATGTGTGGGGAAAGGGGACTTCGGAGGCTGTCCCCACGGTGGATCCAGGCACCAGGCTCGCTCACCAGGAGACCGCTCCGCCCGCTGACGCAGACCGTGTGCGCGAGGCCGCCAGGCCGTGCAGGCCTCGGACCAGGCCCTTCGGCCCCCTCTGGCGGCAGGCAGAGCTTTCGGCTCTCCCGCAGCACAGTGCGCCCGCGGCCCCAGCCCGAGACCGTGGCTTCAGAACGCGCGAAAGTTAGGGCCTCGGTCTCCTGGACGCGGCCCCACGCGCCCCACGGCCACGAGAGGCGACAAGAGCGCCCGCGCCCACCTCGTCGGGTAGCACCGGGGACCGCGGCCCGCAAACCTGAGCGGGGGCCGGCCTCGCACTAACAGGCAGCTGCCACAGCCAATCCGCTTTCGTCTGTGCCCTTAGGTTCCGCCCATGCCCCTAGGCTCCGCTCATGCCCGGCCCTGGCGGAGCTTTGACTTCCCAGTAGCGCTGGTACCCGGTGTTTAGCTCCCATTCCCCAGGACTTCGGATTCGGTTAGGCTGCTCGCTCGCCCTCAGTCGCCTCTCCGAAAGGAGCGGCAGGAGAGGGGCGATAGCCATGCTAGGTCCCTGGTGAACGAGCGTTTGTGGCGGTTGACTCTGGTGGCAGTCCACGGGCAGGAAATGTAGCCCTAAAGGACATCCAAGGTGGTGGTAGAGCTCGGGGTCTGTTGACCCAGTGTCTGTCTCCAGCGTTGATGCTGGTCAAGGAGGAATGAAAGAAGGATCTTATTTAACTCGGTTGTTCTCCTTATTCACTGGCTATGACGTTCTTTGGGTAGCTGGTTGCTTCTTTTTGTTTTTACTTTATTTGATTTTTATTTATTTACTTGTTCATTTCTGCGGGTCTGAGGATTGAACCGAGGACTTTACATTTCCCTCTCTACCATGGAGAGACAGGGTCTCTCTGGCCTTGAACTTGTAGCCTTCCTGCCGCTAGGGTACCTGTGATGATAGGCATGGATTTGTGTCTTTAAACCCCAGGTAATTCTCATGTAAATTATTTCATAGCTAAAAATGTTGAGGCTCTGATTTTTTTCTTCTAATTCCGCTTAATAAGCCATTCTATGAACTCTGGTTTTCCATGGTGTTTTGTTGTTTAATTCTGAGTATTGGTGAACACTGGATGGCAGACCACCAATGTCACTCTTCCAACGTTTTAAAGGTCACCCACTGATACTAAAATTGAAGCATCTGAGGCACTTACATGCTCATACTTGGAGGCTTCAACTGCAGTTCCTGGTTCAGAGCTGAGGAAGCATGAGTCATTTACAAAACTTACTGTTAGACACCTTGCTGGGGACAAAGCACGTGGACAGTGCCGCCCTCATCAAACTCCAAGAAAGGAGCCTGTGTATGACATCACCAGGATTTAATGTAAGAGGAAAAAACTTTATAAAAAAATAGCTTTCTAGGTTAGCATCCAAAGTATTGTTTTTTTTAACATGTCATCTTCAGATATGTGCTGTGAGTGGACAATGTAAAGAATATGAACATGTTTCAACAATATCAGAATTTATTGAGTAATGATAAAGGAACAGTCATTTCCATGGCATCCACTTGATATGCCTGCTTTCCTTGGCAACCATGACCGAGATGAACACAGGCTGTTTAATTCCCATCTGAATTATTAATATCAACTCTTGGATCACACAATAATATGTGTGTGTACGTATACATGCAACCATATATATGTATGTATGGTTCCAAATGGCAATAAATTGTTAAAAGATCACTGCAGAGTTCAAGGGTTCTCATAAGTCCTGAAAAGAAGGGAAGTTAGTAGAAATATCATAGATATTTGACAATAGATACCGATAAATTAACAGAACCAGAGCCCCGAGAAAGAATCTGGAGAAACTTTGGTGAGTGGTTAGGCTCCTTCAGATCCCAAGTTTGAGAGTAAAGCTGCAGAGCTGAGACAGCTCCAGGGCAGAAGGGCAGGGCTGGGTCCAGACAGATCGGCAGACAGATGGACAGATGGGGCAGGTCCAGGTCAGTCGGCACCAATGCCACCTCCGTGCAAACTGTTTACTTCTCTGTGGAGTCCGGGGAAGGGAGTTACACCCTTGCCTTGGTCTGTTGTATATGATATTTTTTGGGCTTGGTCTTTCTGATATGGTTTTAATATGCCCATATGCCTCCACTTTCTCAGTTGGCGCAATCTTTCTCCCCTGGGAATAAGTCGCTTTTCAGTCTGTGTTGTGTAGGTGGTACTGGACGGAAGTGCTATTCCTGTGTCCATCCAGGTGTGGAGTCGTCCTCCATCTTCAAATGGAGTCTCTTCGAACAAGAAACACTGAAAAACTGCTGTTTTACAAAGCATGGAGTAACAGGGCAAGGCCCAGCCTGATCCCACATGGTCATTATACCTTGTTTCCGTTCATTCCTGCCCGCAGTGCCCTTCTCTGTACCTTCTTCCGCTTCAGCTTGATTCCTTCTGTTTTCTTCTCGTGTCCTATTTCCCACCTTCTTTAAGAGATCTAACTTCCCTCTTATGAGCCCCACAATTTTTTTCACCTACAGACGCACACATCAGCAAATATATTCATACACATAATTGTAAAGATTTGTTTTTATTTTTATGTGTATGTTTATGTACCGTGTGTATGCAATGCCTACAGACCAGGCTGGTCTTGAACTCACAGAGATCCGCCTGTCTCTGCCTCCCAAGTGCTGGGATTAAAGGCGTGTGCCACCATCGCCCAGCCATTAAATCCACATTCTATATGTAAAAGAAAATGTGCTAATTGTCTCTCTGGGTCTGGTTTATTAACCCTTAACACAATGACTCCAACTGCAACTATTTTCCTGCAAATGTCATTATTTCATTTTTCTTTTTTTCTCCCTCTGAAATAGAGTCTCATTCATTGTGTAGGCCAGGCTGGCCTCAAACTACAGAGATCTGCTTGCCTCTGCCTCCCAAGTGCTAGGATTAAAGGCGTGTGTCACCATGTCCAGCAATGTCAATTTCTTTATGGCTGCATAAAATTACATTGTGTACGTATACCACTTTTTTTTGTTTACTCTTATATTGGGCAGCATCTAGATAAGTTCTGTGTCTTGGCTATCGTGACTACTACTCCAGTGAACATGTACATGTGCCTATCTCATCCTGACATGTTGAGTCAAAGTCCTTTAATGGCTATCCTCTAATGCAAATTTATGAACAGTGGAACTTGAGGTTCATGTAATGGTGACAGCTCACGAGTGCCTTTCTTTTGTCCAGTCATTTTTAAAAAGTGAAAACCATTCCCAGCCTTCAGGTCATTTTAAAAGGTAGTCAACCAAATTTACCTGGCCAGTGGCCATGCTTCTTACCTGTCCTGTTTAACCTCTGCAGGTAATGCCAAGTGATGTTCGAACACTTGTGAATGGATTTGCCAAAAACCCACTGATAACCCGAAGGGAAGGCTTGTACTTCAAGGAAAAGGATTACAAATGTGTCCGGGCAGATGACTATTCTCTTTATGCTAAGAATGTAAGTATTCAAGATTCGAAGACAGATGGGTAAAAATCTTAAGAATTTTACTTTGGTTTTTTTTATCCCTCCTCATGCTCTCTGCAAAACATTACTAGTAGCCTTGAGTTGTTGAAATAGCACTCTAGTGCCAGGAAGTGTGTGTGTGTGTGTATGAAGCTGTGAAGTGTGAAGATACTCATAGAGGCTGGGGATGGACATGAAGAGCAGAGACCTTGCCTGGAGCGTGCAAAGCTCCGGGCTTGGTCTCCAGCACTGAAGTGAATTAAAGAAGAAGAAAAGCACTTCTGTCCAAAAGTATTCTTAGCCAGATATCCCGGCTGTTAAAATATTCCCTCTGGACTCTGTCAGCTGAGCTACCTCTCCTGATACCGTTCATCCTCCAGTGCTATGACTTGCTTGTCTTGGGTCCTGAAACCCAGTGTGGGGACAGCGAGGGAACGAAGAAAGGGCAGAGACACGGATACAGACAGTAAAGCTGGGATCAGGTGGGGTGTTTACATGCTTTCCAAAGTTCATATACCTGTTAGGCACAAGAATGTTAAATCAGACACAGAGGTAGGCAAGGAAAGGTTATTACTGGGCTATAGCCCAGAATACATAGTTAAAGGCTCTGGACTTGCAACGTTCCAACCTCCCCACAGTCAATATACTTTCCAGGAATTCTTCTTCACAATACATGCAATATTAGTACAAAAACCTGAAACTTTTCAGAAAATACTACTAAATTTCTCAAAATAATGGAAGATTAAAATACAAGTACAAAAATACAAAGAAGTCAGGAAAAAGGTTTTTTGTTTTGTTTTGAATGTGTCTGTGGCTCAGAACAAAGCCAGAGCGTTCTATGTCCTTCCTCACCCAGGAGAACACTGGTGTGGTGGTTGTGAAGACCCATCTGTATCTTCTGGTGGCCACTTACACTGCAGGCATGTATCCTAGCGTCTGTGTGGAGGCCACAGAGAAGCTGGGTAAGTTTGCCTCCCACTGAGGCTTGAGACCCTACTCAGACTAGCCAGGGGAGAAAGGAGGAATTTATTGGAGAATCCGAGGATGACACACTCACACACACAGAAAGTGTTGAACACCGGGGAGCCGTGGGAAAGGCAAGTACCCTGGATAGGAACACTGCTCGACAGCTGGCAGTCTGTCTTGTCTCTGCTTCTTCGTGAGTCAGCTTTGCCCTGTCCCATTGCAAGGCAACTGCTTCCTTCCCTGGCTTGGTAGCACCCTGATTTGTGTCATGGTTTACCCCTACCCCCACCCCCACGTCAGTAAGCTGTGCAAGAGAGATGCGCAGGGGAGCAGAGAGGAAGCAGGTTAAAAAGGAATGTTAGGGGCCCACTCTGGAGAGGTGGAGCCATCTTGGTGTGTAGTGTAGTCTCCTTCTTTGGTTTACAATTGGGGAAAATAAAAATTAAGATTTACTAGACAACTAAAGCGAGGTTTGAGCATAGCAAATGGTAAATGGCCTCTCGTGACTCTGTAGATGCCGTCCTACCTGCCAGAAATGCATCCTGTCCTGCCCATGCCCCTCACATCTGGTTGGTACACTCCTCATCGTCACTGAGGGTCTGGGCAGATTGGGATGCCTCTTCCACTGTGCTGTGTATTTTATGCACACCACTGCTGTTATTTCCATTGGAGCTCTTTGTTGATGTGGACTACAAACCCATTACAGCAATGC